AAAAAGCCACACTCAGATCACGACCTTTAAGCTGTGTGAGAAGAAACAAAGCGCCTTGACAAAGGAATTAGCATATAATTTAGCATTGAAATGGCTGAGTGATTAGCTTGTGACTGGTCACAGAAATGGCTGTTAAAATTAAAGCATACACATCCGCAAAGGCACCCCTTGACAAAGGAATTAGCATAGAATTTAGCATTGAAATAGCTAAGTTAAAGTATACACATCCGCAGAGGCACCCCTTGACAAAGGAATAAGCATAGAATTTAGCATTGAAATAGCTGAGTGATTAGCTTGTAACTGGTCACAGAAATAGCTATGTTAAAGTCAGAGCATATACATTCACCGAGGCACCTAGTACAAATCAAACAGGAGAATTTAGCGAAACACAACCACGCTCAGACCGCGGACCTTTAAGCTGTGTGCGAGCAAACAAGGTGTCCTGGCAAAGAAATTAGCATAAAAAATGTGCATTTGATTGGCCGATTTTAGAAAGGAGGTGGTGTACGTGCCGGTGGACTTGCCGTTTGGCGCGGGGAGGGGGGGGAGTTTACCTATTGATGGTGTGAAAAGGGAATTTATAAGAGCTGCGAAAGTTTGGGGTACCACTACTTGAAAAATATACTGTACCATTGAAATTAGTTTAATGTTTAGTTCGATTTAGAACATCTTTCCAATGGTTGCTTAATTTGAAACCATCTTCTCGGTTGAAATTGTGTCTGTGTTTGTAGATCTGAATTGCCTCGTGAACAAATCTCTGATAAAAACCCGTGGGTTTGCAAAGAACCTTGGTATCGGAGAAAATTATATCGTGATCACCAACAGCGTTGTAACAGTGATCAGCCACAGCAGAAGAATTCGTTTTGCCGTGTTTCAAATCTGATTTGTGCTCGCGAATTCGGTCAGAGACATGTCGCTTTGTCTCCCCGATATAGCAATCACCGCAGGTACAACTCAATTTGTAAACCCCGGGGTACTGTAAGTCAGGAATGACATCCTTCACGGATGGGATCAGATCACGAATTTTGTGTACTGTATTGAACCGGACCTGGATCTTGTGTTTGTTTAGAATTTTGGAAATCTTTTTAGTAACGCCTGCTATATATGGTAGTGTGATGGTTTTGACCGGAGTATCAAGTGGTTGTTTCTGTATGGAGGGAGAAACAGCTTGGCGGATGGTACGGTCAGAGTAACCATTCCTTTTGAGGGCCAGGTGTACATGTTTTAATTCACTGGTCAGGTGGCGTTGGTCCGAAATGCAATGAGCCCTATGGTATAAAGTTTTGATGAGAGAATTATTTTGGGCTGGGTGGTGGTGGGAATCAGGTTTCAAGTAGGAATCTGTGTGGGTGGGTTTCCTGTAGACAGAATGCCCCAATGAGCTATCAGGTCTCCTCTCAAACAGAACATCTAAGAATGGTAGCTTGCCATCTTTCTCCACTTCCATGGTGAATTTGATGGCGGGATGTCTGGAGTTGTACCTGCGGTGATTGCTATATCGGGGAGACAAAGCGACATGTCTCTGACCGAATTCGCGAGCACAAATCAGATTTGAAACACGGCAAAACGAATTCTTCTGCCGTGGCTGATCACTGTTACAACGTTGTGGGTGATCACGATTTAATTTTCTTCGATACCAAGGTTCTTTGCAAACCCACGGGTTTTTATCAGAGATTTGTTCACGAGGCAATTCAGATCTACAAACACAGACACAATTTCAACCGAGAAGATGGTTTCAAATTAAGCAACCATTGGAAAAATGTTCTAAATCGAACTAAACATCAAACTAATTTCAATGGTACAGTATATTTTTCAAGTAGTGGTACCCCAAACTTTCGCAGCTCTTATGAATTCCCTTTTCACACCATCAATAGGTAAACTACCCCCCTCCCCCCCCGCGCCAAACGGCAAGTCCACCGGCACGTACACCACCTCTTTTCTAAAATCGGCCAATCAAATGCTAATTTATGTGCCAATTTCTTTGTCAGGACACCTTGTTTGCTCGCACACAGCTTAAAGGTCCGCGGTCTGAGCGTGGTTGTGTTTCGCTAAATTCTCCTGTTTGATTTGTACTAGGTGCCTCGGTGAATGTATATGCTCTGACTTTAACATAGCTATTTCTGTGACCAGTTACAAGCTAATCACTCAGCTATTTCAATGCTAAATTCTATGCTAATTCCTTGTCAAGGGGTGCCTCTGCGGATGTGTATACTTTAACTTAGCTATTTCAATGCTAAATTCTATGCTAATTCCTTTGTCAAGGGGTGCCTTTGCAGATGTGTATGCTTTAACTTTAACATAGCCATTTCTGTGACCAGTCACAAGCGAATCACTCAGCCATTTCAATGCTAAATTATATGCTAATTCCTTTGTCAAGGCGCTTTGTTTCTTCTCACACAGCTTAAAGGTCGTGATCTGAGTGTGACTTTTTTCACTCCAGCGCTGTCCTCCAGACAGTCTCGTCCCTTCACCTGATGAAATCCGCTTGTGTTGTGGCCGAAACGTCGTGATTTTTGTTATTTTATTTTTTACCTACGTGACTTTACCCAATAGAACCAAAGAGTATGGATCTTTGCAGTCACGAAAGCTTTAAATCTAGAAATACTATGATAATATTTGCATTGTCCTTGAAACTGATTGGTCCACACCAAGGGACGGCTTTCTTTTGAGCCTCGACCCAATTGGTGCTCGACCAAATGACGCCAGAAGGTGTCACACAGCTCAAAGACAATGCACTATCAAAGTAATGAGGGCTCGGGGTGAGCATCTACATCATTAGACCTCCTTTGCCAGTACCAAAATGTAATAATAGGGATTTTTCCCCTTTTTTCTGGCAACAAAACTGAAACCTTTACAACAAGGATTAATGTCTGCATTAACCACAATACCTGCAGTCAAAATGCAAACAAAAAACATACTATAATAATATATGATGCATTGTCCTTGAAACTGATTGGTCCACACCCAGGGACGGCTTTCTTTTGAGCCTCGACCCAATTGGTGCTCGACCAGATGACGCCAGAAGGCGTCACACAGCTCAAAGACGATGCACTATCAAACTAATGAGGGCTCGGGGTGAGCATCTACATCATTAGACCTCCTTTGCCAGTACCAAAATGTAATAATAATAATAGGGTTTTTCACCTTTTTTCCGTCCCTTGGTGCGGACCAATCAGTTTCAAGGACAATGCATATATTATCATAGTATGTTTTTGTTCGCATTTTGACTGCAGGTATTGTGGTTAATGCAGATATGAATCCTCGTTAAAAGGTTTCAGTTTTGTTGCCAGAAAAAAGGGGGGAAAACCCTATTCTATTTTTTCAATTAAACATACTTGGCGTCGTATTTTTCAGCTGCACTTTAAAGGTTACTTCAAAACACGACAAAATACATTTTATGAACAACGCTGAAATTTCACACCACTCGATCCTGTGAACCTCCGTCCAGGCATGCATCAGTGGGGTTACATTTTCAACTTAACATTGTCTGTGGAGTGACCCTGGACATTTTACCATGTCAGTTTTATTGTAACTTATCTTGAAGTGTACTTTATTTTTTAACGTGTAACTCCATTGCGTGAGAATGCATGTTTTAGTATCAAATGTCCAAATAAAGGTAGATATTTATTTTAAGGGCATGGCACCATCAGACACAAAGACTTCTGAGCGTGGGTGGCGTGAGGTTGACCAATAGCGACCTGAGACCAGCACTTTAGAGGGCCATCGGAGGAATAACTACAAATAAATCGTTGTTTATTTTGATTATAAAGTACAGGTATTGTATTCATGCTGACTGTAGGCAGCGTGAGACCACTATTGTTTGCTACACAAGCACTACAGATACTTGTGCCAGAATCATTACTGCCACGTACCCCTTGGGAGAATTAAAGTAACTTTGAGGGCATCATTACCTTGGCTCCTATATTTAAATATACCTCAGGGAGAATTGTGCTTTGAAGTGATTATGCAAACTGGCCACGTTGCTTGCTTGCTTGCTACACTGCTAGATGATGGCTCTCCCCCACCCCACCAAATGAAGGCATATCTTATTACAGACCAATTCACGACCTTTTTGGTCACCCCGTTGCCCTTATAAATCTCAACGTCCATCCTACAAAGTCCCATCACAAGAGAGAAACACACACAAAAAATAATCTTGTTTTTTTAAATTACCAAATAGATTTGTGTGTGTCGTCATACCTGTCAATCCCTTATTAGTGCCTATCTTATTACAGACCAATTCAGGACCTTATTGGTCACCCCGTTGCCCTTATAAATCTCAACGTCCATCCTACAAAGTCCCATCACAAGAGAGAAACACACAAAAAAATAATCTTGTTTTTTTAAATTACCAAATAGATTTGTGTGTGTAGTCATACCTGTCAATCCCTTACCAGTGCCTATCTTATTACAGACCAATTCAGGACCTTTTTGGTCACCCCGTTGCCCTTATAAATCTCAACGTCCATCCTACAAAGTCCCATCGCAAGGGAGAAACACAAACAAATATTTAAACAAATATTGCCCGTATTGAAACGACCTGAAATCTCAATTTCCCTGTACAAGAACAATACACGGGGTGAATATTCTTTGGTTCTTTCGGTAAAGTCACGTAGGTGGGAAAAAATAATAAATTAAATAAAATCACGACATTTCGATTGCAACGCAAGCAATCGTCATCAGGTGTGACAACCACAGCAAAAAAATATATATTACTGTCACACCTGATGATGGTTGCTTGTGTTGCAATCGAAACGTCGAGATTTTATTTATTTTAAATTTATTTTAAATCATTGTTTTCCACCTACGTAACTTTTACCAAAGGAACCAAAGAATATGGATCTTAGCAGTCGCGGAAACTTCCAAATCTATAATGATGATGACACGGGGTGAAAACCGCGTTGGTTGGACAGCTGTGGGAAGGTGCCTTGTGGTGTGTTTGTGTGTGTGGTGATCATTTGACCATAATTCGCCGCGCTGTTGGTGAGTGTGCCCTTTGCACATCTGTAATTGCTGGGTTATAGTACTTTCCGGATTATAGGACGCTCTGGAAAGTAAATTAAATCAAGATTTTTACCCACATCTTGCGCGTTCCTACAATCCCCGACAGAGCGTGACGCCTGCACTTGCTATAATCCCCCTCGACATTTTGGCGGGAAGAGGATCTATATAAAGTACAGTATCGTCTCATTCAGTACCCTCATAATAGTTGACAATACTGGGATACAGTGCACTGGATTGTTGCTGTGCTAATGATGGTTTTTGTTTTGTTATTATTTATCGCGCAGATCGGTTGAGGCTTGAAACCTGGCCCTCGTGTTGTGTCCTGGGTCCCATGGCCCATCAAGTAAGAAGCCTAGAGCGCCGAGCCTTTGATACAGGCCGTGTACAATGTGCTTTTTCTTGCAATTATAACTGCAAATGAAGTCACTTGTATTCGTGAACCTGTTTCGGAATGCGTGTTTGTGTACGTCGTATTTAATCTCGCCTTCGCGATGATTTACGATCTTGTTTACCCCTGAGGCAAACTCGGAGGAACGTCATTATTCCTTGGGGCTTCTCAAATCTCTTCTTAACAAAACTAAATTGTTGGTTCTTCTATTCACCGCTGGGCGTTTTGTTTTCTTACACGGTACAGTGCTCTACGTAAAAGTAGTTCGCTAACACAATGATGCTTTTTTTTTTACAAAACTAGGCCCTGTGTATCGGCTCATTCTTATATTTGGCCATACTTCACCTGCACTGGTCTTTTTCTGGTCTATTGGTGAATGCCTCAAGTAATGACCGTGAGTTTGCATACAAATCGTGCTTGCCTAACAACGATTTAGTGTATAAATACAACAACTGTTGTATCTGTGGGTGACCCGGCCTGTCCAAACCCTGCTTATCTTCACGAGATGTTGATAAAACCCAACACATTCCGGGTTGGTTAGATGATCATCATAGGCGTATAAACAAGTACTGTTCATCGAAAAAAATGTTTTAGATACGATACCATCATATACAGGGTGGTCCAGGTGTCTTGTGACCCCCATTTATTACTCTAAAACTTAATGTTTGTTATACCAATCGGTCTGTAATGCAATGTAACCATTATAAAATAACAACTATGTTCGGGGTCAATGAATTGGGGTGGCGGTCACAAGACATTTGGACCACCCTGTATAACGTGGCAGGGGGCTTATTGAGCCACATTATTGTACGCGTGTGTGTGTGTACACGACAGCAGACAACGATATTCGTTAAGGTGCAACAGCAGAAGCTGCAGAAACTGGTGACAGAGACCATGCAGCTGAAGGCATTGCTGCCCAAGGTGGTGCATGGTGACATCCTGCATGCCACCACCAAGCTGAGACACCTTGAGATGGGTATACATCCATCCACCCACCACCTTCAAAAGCAAGCCCTGAAACCCTGCCAACACTTGTTGTTAAATCGCTTAAGGGTCTTGTTTTGCCACACCTCACTGCACAATAGCCATTTTCGCAGAGTTGATTTCACAAGCACTGTTGCAGGGATCAACTCTCTATGCTTTTCCTTTTTATTGTATAAACACACCCCCAAGTACTGTAAGCATAATACAGCAGCTTATTCGTTTTCAAAAATGGTTTTCGTGGGATCCAATATCTTTTGTCAGTTGATCAATACAGTCAAATGAAAGTGTTATTTTAAAGTAATCAAAATAAATCAGCATATCATACATTCTGAAACCATGTATAGTAATCTGCATTATTTTTGGTTTATGTATTTCAGCAACAAAACATTTTCACAGCAATCCATTTAACTGGTTAATGACAGCTTCCAATGATGTGATGCATATTACATGAACTTTTGTTGATCACATCACCACCTTGCGGGCTGCAAACAGAGAGAGCTAAAAATTCCGGAAACTTGAAGCTGCAGAGCTAGTGAACATTATTTATGAAAATAGATATGCGCACAAAATACTCATAACATTACAGCACCAAGCAGATGTTCTAAGGCTTACCAGCACTCTGCCGTAGCGTAAGAATTACCCGCAAAAAACTCCTTTCTCAAATAGCGAGTTGAATTCAGATGTTTCGAAGTCATGAACTGTATAATAAAAAAATATTTAACGAGTACATTGTAGTCTAATTGTGAACCGCCGAATTTCTGTATTATGTTGTGCACTGCATTGTGAGCTGTGTTTTGATAGTTTTGGAAGATAGAGACAAGGAAGTGGAGAAACTGCGTTTGGATTGTGAGCACCTTCGAGCAAAGTTGGACATTGCATTAGGGGACTGTCAGAAGGAGAAAGAGGTATGTTAGTGCGTTCGACTTGGTTTAATACACCATCGGATTTTACAACGTTGCGGCTTTAGACGTCAAATCCAGTGTATCTAGGCCAGTGGTTCTTAACCTGGGTTCGATCGAACCCCAGGGGTTCGGTGAGTCGATCTCAGGGGGCAGAGCCCCCGCCACGGAGGTCCGGACACACTTGAATTATTGTGTAAATTTGTGATGACACACACGGCCCGCTTGGCCATCACTGGCTGCAGATGATCATGCTACACTGCTTGGCCAATCAGCGCTGCGGGGAATTTAGTGCGTACTCAGTAGTCAATGTGTGACTGTTGTCGTACGTCGTGTGATTTCTTTAATATTTTATCCATACTAACTATGTCGGGCAAAAGAAGAAAGTGGTCGGACGAATATGTACAACATGGATTCTTATGTATCACGGAACGTGATGGGAGTGAGCGTCCTATCTGCATGATTTGCAACGCCAAGTTGAGCAACTCTAGTCTTGCACCGGCAAAACTAAAGGAACACTTCTTGAAGCTGCATGGAGACGGGGAATACAAGAACACAACACTTGCTGAATTCAGGGTGAAGAGAGCCAGATTCGATGAAAGGGCCACTCTGCCTGCTCTTGGATTTGTACCTGTTAACAAACCGATCCTGACAGCATCGTACGAAGTTGCTTACCTGATCGCAAAGCAGGGCAAGCCACACACCATTGGTGAAACACTTGTGAAACCAGCTGCATTAAAGATGGCGAATCTGATACTCGGAACAGCGGCCGAAGGTAAATTATCCCAAATTCCCCTTTCAAATGACACCGTCAGTGACAGAATAGAAGACATGAGTAAAGACATCTTGGCTCAAGTAGTCGCGGATCTGATTTCAAGCCCGGCAAAATTCAGCCTTCAACTCGACGAAACCGAGACAACAATCTTTCATGGGATATGGTTTCTGCAGTTTGTACGGACGGAGCTCCAGTCATGCTGGGAAGAAAGTCTGGTTTTGGTGCGCTAGTAAAGGCCGATGCACCACACATCATTGTGACGCATTGTATTCTGCACAGGCATGCGTTGGCAACAAAAACCTTACCTCCAAAAATGACAGAAGTATTAAAAACTGTGGTGGAATGTGTGAACTATGTGCGAAAAAGTGCTCTGAGGCACCGCATCTTCAGTGAGCTGTGTAAAGAAATGGGCTCTGAATTTGAGGTACTTCTGCTCCATTCTAATATTCGGTGGTTATCCCGGGGACAGGTGCTGAATCGTGTTTTTGCCATGCGTGTGGAATTAGCCCTGTTTTTGCAAGAGCACCAACACTGCCATGCAGATTGCTTCAAAAATCCTGAGTTCATTCTCATTTTAGCGTACATGGCTGATATATTCGCAGCTCTCAATCATCTCAATCAGCAGATGCAGGGTGGTGGAGTCAATATCATGGAAGCGGAAGAACACCTGAAGGCTTTTCAAAAAAAGCTACCGTTATGGAAACGACGAACAGAGAACAATAACTTCGCAAACTTCCCGCTTCTGGACGACTGTGCAAGTAAGATCGAAGATGTGTCTGGAATCGGAGATATTTCTGTATCCACGGAACTGAAGCAAACAATTGCCACGCACTTAGATGAGCTTGCAAAGTCTCTCGACGGATATTTCCCTACAAGAGAGTCATATCCAGCATGGGTGAGACAGCCGTTCACGTTTGTTGTTGAAACAGCAGATGTCAATGATGAATTCCTCGACGAAATCATTGAAATTCAGCAGAGCCAGGTTCAACAGCAACTCTTCAGAACAACAACGCTCTCAACGTTTTGGTGTCGACAAATGAACAAGTATCCAGTTATTGCTAAGAAAGCCCTGGATTTTTTTATACCATTTGTTACAACATATCTTTGTGAGCACTCCTTTTCGAGGATGCTGGACATAAAAACGAAGAAAAGGAACAGACTTTGCTGTGAAAATGACATGAGAGTGGCACTTGCCAAGGTGAAGCCACGCATATCTGAACTGATCTCTCAAAGGCAACAGCAGAAGTCACATTGATTTCCAGGTATGTAATTTGTTGTGAGTTTATGCATTGTGTTGGTTTTATTCTTTGAACAAGGTAATGTTCATGCACGGCTCATTTTGTGTACCAGTAAAAAACATATCTATGTCTTGAATTTGAAAAAAATCACATTTTATTTTTCACTAAAGAGGGGTTCGGTGAATGCGCATATGAAACTGGTGGGGTTCGGTACCTCCAACAAGGTTAAGAACCACTGATCTAGGCTTATAAAAGAATACACATATATTTATGCATCTGCTGTTTCACACAAACCTTTCCGCGGGATTTTCACCTGCTTTGGTTAGATTTCTTTCCGGAAATATAATGTCCAAAATAAACGTTGTCAATAGATCTAGCACAGTTAACCAGATATTTAATACGAAAAATGTACAGTCCTCAAGATGTGTATTTTCTCAGATGTATGAGCTGCTTTTGTTAGCCAAGGGAGTGCAGAAAATTATGCAGGCAGACAGGCAAATTTCATGTGATGTTAATCATATAAAATATTATTTTAATACTCCTGGCTATAGGTTCCTGGTCAGTGTGTTTCAGATTGCTTTCATATTTTCATGCTATGAAAGGTGCATCATTTCAATGTACACTCAACATTTAAACTAAGTTAAAAGTTGTGCACAAAAAACAGTTAAGTCCCACAATCCCTCTTTTAGACTAGACTGGATTTGGAAACTTACAGCCATGGCTATGTTAAATACAGTACATGCAATAATAAGTACCGTACGAGACCACCAAATTTTAAATGCATTCTTACTGGAGAAGCATTGCATGGAATTTATATCTCATCCGATAGTATACTCAATTCCAATTAACAAAAAGTATACATTTCGATTTAAAGCTTCCGTGACTGCAAAAGTCACGTAGAATGAGAATCAAATAATAAATTGATCAAATAAAATAACACAATAATATTCTCACGACGTTTCGGCCACAACACAAGCGGCCTTCATCAGGTGAAGGGACGAGACTGTCTGGTAGGACAGCGCTGGAGTGAAAGAGCCACGTTCAGATCACGGCCTTTAAGCTGTGTGAGAGGAACAAAGCGCCTTAGAGTCGCGGCATCTCTTCAGAAAGGTGAGAGACTCGATTAGTTGAGCCTTCTTATCCCGAAGTCTGTTGAATGATCTTGAGGATGTGTGGAATCCCTCCCCGTAGAGGCGGTTTAAAAAAACAACTATGTTCGGGGTCAATGAATTGGGGTGGCGGAATCCCTCCCCGTAGAGGCGGTTTAACCGCCTCTACGGGGAGGGATTCCACACATCCTTAAGATCATTCAACAGACTTCGGGATAAGAAGGCTCAACTAATCGAGTCTCTCACCTTTCTGAAGAGATGCCGCGACTCTAAGGCGCTTTGTTCCTCTCACACAGCTTAAAGGCCGTGATCTGAACGTGGCTCTTTCACTCCAGTGCTGTCCTACCAGACAGTCTCGTCCCTTCACCTGATGAAGGCCGCTTGTGTTGTGGCCGAAACGTCGTGAGAATATTATTGTGTTATTTTATTTGATCAATTTATTATTTTATTCTCATTCTACGTGACTTTACCGAAAGAACCAAAGAAAAAGTATACATTTTCACTCTTTTACTTCAGGGTGGCTTTCATGTGTGCGTGCGCAATATTGTCATAAGTGTTGCCTGTGTTTCAGGACAAGTTGAAGGCACGGCGACAGCTGTCTGATGCACAGCGGCAGCTGGAGCAGCAGGCGGATTTCTGCACGTCTCTGGGAGCGGTCGTGTGCACGCTGCTCTGGAGGGTTTCTCGCTCCGAGGCCAGTGTACAGGCAATCCTTGTGGGGGTGTGTTCCATTACACTTTTTTTTGGGTTCTTGTCATACATGGGTGCGTGCTATATGCTTGTTTTCTCCAAATTTAGTAATACGGGGTTTTTTTTTCACTGAATATTTTGAGTTCCCTGAAGCATTGCTCAACTAATGGTTATGCATCATTGTTTTTTTTTGCACAAAAATGTACCCCTGCATTAGCTGTACACATTCCTCCAGAAATGTGTTTGCAACTTTGAACATTGTCTTAGAGTAAATTGGATAAAGTGCACAATTATGTACCATCTTCAATGCTATCTTATGGAACATACATTAACTAGAGCCTTGCATGTGAATAAGCAATATTACCGTATTTTCCCGCATATAACCCGCGGGGTATACCACTGTTTACAAAACAAGACCCTTCGGGGTATATGGAGGTGCGGGTTATCCCAAAAATATTTTACACGTGTGACATGTCATAACTCGTTTAATGTTTTCATGGTAGGAATATCCCCTATGCAACACTTACCTTTGACTAAAGCACTGCTGAATAAACCACCCACACTAAAATTGCACATGTTATCACGTTTTAAATGATTCGAATTGTTTGTACAATGAAACGACAATGTTTGAAGTGGGCGCACTTTGTTTACTGTAATACTTTCAATGGCTGTATGGGGGTGCGAAAGTTTCAGCTGAGGCTACGGATTGCACAATGGGAGGGGCCTTAACAAGCGTCTATTAGACGCGGAATCATAATTGCTGTGTCCCTTAAGTCGCTGCTATTGGCTGAGCACTATACAGTCGCGGGTATATGGAGGTGCGGGCTATCTGAAATTTGTTTTACACAAAACGCTATTTTTGCGGGGTATATGCATCTGCGGGTTATATGCGTATGCGGGCTATATGCGGGAAAATACGGTACTCGAACGAATGTACAAAAACCTGATCTTACAATGAAAAAAAATCAGACAAAAGATAAAATTTTAGTAGAGAAAAACCCAATAAAACTTCTCAATGAGAATCTTGCAAAAATATTGTTCTAAAATCAATTAAATACTAGCTTAGAAGGGTATGCATTACCGAATGCCCCCGAGCAGTCCTGAAGATCACGACTGCTCTCTGACGTCGCGTGCTTTGGTTATATCTATCATGTGAACTCAAGGCGTGCAGCAAAATTAATATGCATATTATGCATTCAAATACCATGTGTAGTTCATATATATTTTTTATTCCTGGAAAACATACAGTGTGCAGATTATCTGAAGTGCCGACTGCATGTACAGCATTATTCTTTTGAAAATACACAATATAATGTTGAATTTTTATTTAAAGCTTTCGTGACTGCAGTAATTCATATTCTTAGCTCTTTCGGTAAAGTCCCTTCAACGTGACTTTACCGAAAGAGCTAAGAATATGAATATAATTTTGCTTTGATAGAGATCGCAAAAATACTCTTTATATGTTGATATCGGTTTTATAGGCATTCAAATGGAGCATTTATGCCTTGTATAGAGTAAATTCCCATGAAAGCAAATATAAATTATCAATGGGCCATGAAACATCACCTATCACTTCAGCATAGTGTTTTATTCAGAATTGATATTCCAACTTAAGTACTGCAGTGATGAGCATGTAAATGTTCTTTGCTTTCAACATGCTAACCTTTCTGCAACTGTCATTCAGTGCAAGGTAAAAGAGTTCTTCACCCTCGCCAGCCAAACAGTGGAGAGCTACGTGAAATCAATGCCTGGCGACTTTAAGACCGAAGATGCCGGTGGAGACGAAAGCCAGTTCGTATTGGCAATGGCTGGCATTGTTACAAGTGAGCTATTAACCAATCCAACAAAAATCCCTTCACTGTACCATGTTTATTGCATTTTGTATAGTGGTACTTTAGATTTTAAAAGTCCTGTTATTTTACAGATGTTAAGTCAACAAAAATGTTACTACAGTATCGTGTTACAATTGTATATGCCCAAGTACTTAAAGTAATATTTTTACTCCGTAAACATGTTAGCAAGACTTCTAATGCATTTTCCCTGTCTGTGCTCAGATATTGCAGCCACTGCCTGTGGTCGGGAATACTTGATGAGCATGCCTGGAGGGAAGACCATTTTGGATGTATTTCTGCAGATATTAATGGAACTTTCAACCGGCCAGTGCATCAAATTCAAAACGTACGTCATAGAATGTGTAGTTTATTTAAATTAACTTGCTGTAAATTGTGAGGAAAGCATCTCAGCTATATTTGTGCATGTTTTTGTTTTATTTCAGCCTCATTTTAATGACACTGTATAATGTCAGCATCAACACTAGTGGACTCCTGTACCTGGCAGAAAAACAAGGGATGGTCAAACTCCTTTGTTGGCTTTTAGAAGGTACTGCCGTTGGAACTGCACATTCTAACGGTGACATTTAATTAAAAAAGTATATATGTATAATTTTACAAGGACTGTAGAATATTTTCCAATATAAACACGAAATCTTAAATTCAATATCACTGTTTAGAGATTAATTACAATATCCATAATCGAGGTTATTTTGGTTAGATCGCGTAAATATAAATATTGTCGTTAAACCCGCCACCACCCGACAGCCAATTAGTAATGTTTGTGAAGTAAATAAAACATGTCAATCTTGTTACTAGTTCAGCACACCGGTGTGTTGGAGAGTAAACCCACAACATCTACAATTCGAGTACTACAATTGTGTGAGTTTACATGCCAACATGGGTGTGAACTAGTAACGAATTGGCACATTTTGTTTACGTCACAAACCTTACTAATTGGCTATGTCGGGTGGTGGCAGGTTTAACGACATTTCTATTTACGCGATCTAACCAAAAAACCTCTTATGGATATTGGTCACGAAAGCCTACGTGTTAAACAGATCAATGACTGCTTGTTGTATCAGGTGAGCAGGATGCAGAGCTACGCTGTCAGGCACTGCGCCTCATCCAGTCCCTGCTGCTAGAGCCTGGCACCAGCCAGGAAGTGGCAGATGGTGTGCGGTCCTGCTTGCCAGAGCACTTCCTTCAGTCTCTGGTGGCCAACCGGCACGTTGAGCTTCGTGACGCCGCCAAGGAGCTCCACGAAGACCTCCAGGCCATACACATTAAGGCCTAGACTTTTGTTCAGGAGCCCACAATAATATACAGTTATCTGACAATTAGATTATTTGTTGGGAAAATAAATTGCATAGTCTTAAAGTATAAAACCAAGGTCTGAAGCACACAGGATTTTTTGAAAATGGTTCAAAAGGAAAAAAATCTGAATTGCTGATTCATCATTTTGTGTTCAGCAACTGAGTAAAATTGACGAACTGGCAGTGGATTGGTATTAAACTTGGATAACATGTTTTTCTGTTCAGGTGCCAAAGTTAATGCAACCTGTGCTTTATATTGTGAAGTTAAATCATTCAAACGAGTTTATAATCCAGATTTCAAAACAATGTTGCTGATGTCATGTGAACAAAAAATAAATAACATTAAAAAAACTTTGTGTTCAATATTAATTCATTGTAAATTAATATCTGCATTTTCTGCCAATGCTGGAGGTGTTTTTAGTTCTAAGAACCAGTTTTTCTCTTGCATGTTTTTCCTATTAACCTTGCATCTATTAAACTTAATCTTGTGTGAACATGTTTGATGAAAAAATATCCAGCTGAGCTGGCTATGAATTAAAATCTGGTATTCTTGTAAAATCCAAACTAAGGTATTTTTCTTTTGGGATGAGCACAGTTAGGTTGAGACATTAAACAAGATACCACACATACATATGTATCATTGACTGGCGTTTGAGGGTGTGGATGCTAGCTAGGCAGGTTTTTCTACATATGTCAATATGGGTAAATCAACTGGTTTACTAATACATTTATAGCAGGCACAAGTGTAAACTTTTGGTTTTGTATAATTCAGTTCAAATGGAGTAGCATAGAACACTTGATATGATTTTATAATACTGATATTCATTGGGTAACGATAAAAAATGCCACTAAGAGTAATTTTGGCTTATAAAATGTGAATGAACAATATCCAAACCAAGCTTGTATACATTATAGTTTGAAGTCCCATTTACTTACGACGCCATATTATTCTTTGTACGCTTAATGTTGCACCTACCAATCAATGGTAACAATACATCAAAATCAGCATCATTGAGTCTAGTAAAGAGTTGTTGCAATTGTTTAGTGGTCCAAGAATGCGTCTAACTTTAATGAAGGTGTACTGCCACTTCTCGTGCAATGGGTTCCCTCTGACCTTTTGGCTGACCATTTTACTCTAATTATGTTGCCAGAAACCTCCCAGTCTGCGTCAATAACATTCAAGAACTACCGTCATGTGACAAAAATGGCTCTGCTACATCCCCTGTAGGTAGTTTTCGTGTTACAGCATGAAATAACATCGTAATTGATGTATTTCTAATCTTGCATATACTTTTTTATAGTGATTTTAAAATAAATGTACAGACAATCATAAAGAGATGCAAAAAGTAAGCAAGCAGATGTATTTTTTTCCGCATGGGCCTTCAAAAGTTAAATGAAAAATAAATGCAGATTAAATATAGCATCAAAAATAACCCTGCCTTCATTAATTATCCAAAATGTACACAGTCTTCTTTGGTTCTTTCGGTAAAGTCACGTAGAATGAGAATAAAATAATAATATTCTCACGACGTTTTGGCCACAACACAAGCGGCCTTCATCAGGTGAAGGGAACGAGGCTTTCTGGAGGACAGCGCTGGAGTGAGAAAGCCACGCTGAGATCACGACCTTTAAGCTGTGTGAGAAGAAACAAAGCGCCTTGACAAAGCAATTGGCATATAATGTAGCATTGAAATGGCTGAGTGATTAGCTTGTGACTGGTCACAGAAAAGGTTATGTTAAAGTTAAAGCATACACATCCGCAAAGGCACCCCTTGACAAAGGAATTAGCATAGAATTTAGCATTTTCAATGCTTTAACTTTAACATAGCTTTTTCTGTGACCAGTCACAAGCTAATCACTCAGCCATTTCATTGCTAAATTATATGCTAATTCCTTTGTCAAGGCGCTTTGTTTCTTCTCACACAGCTTAAAGGTCGTGATCTCAGCGTGGCTTTCTCACTCCAGCGCTGTCCTCCAGACAGTCTCGTCCCCTTCACCTGATGAAGGCCGCTTGTGTTGTGGCCGAAACGTCGTGAGAATTTTATTGTCTTATTTTATTTTATTGTTTTATTCTCATTCTACGTGACTTTACCGAAAGAACCAAAGAAGATGGATCCTTGCAGTCACGAAAGCTTTAAATCGAAATGTACACAGTGTTTATTAAAAAGGTTGTAACCAAAAGTACCGTCCTGGCTAAGAAACCTGCAATTAGACCTCATCCTCTTCGTTTCCACACCCTTCCATTAACTTCAAAGACATGACTCGTACATTACCATGGCTCCATTTATGTTTGTGCCTCTGGATTCACAACACACTCTCTTAAAGAGGATAATAAAAACAAACTAGATGCGTTTGTGTAACTTCTAAGGGCAGATCGGAGACATAAACAAATATTAAGAGGACAATACATGGACCTAGATTTTTTCCTGGATTAACTCGTGGTAAAAAATATTCCCAACTTTATGAAGAGCAAATATAATAGAGTAACGATGATAAAACGTTGACTGAAAAAATAATTTTAATATAAGACAATATATGGGGTGTTAACATATACTAGGTTGAAGTGCAAAAGCATACATCGATAAGTGTTTTGAGCAACGCTTTAACATCCTTATATGTGCTGTCCTGGATGGGGATGATGCGTGCAGTCCGTCACATCCCACGGGTGTTTTACGACACCGTGTACAGGTATAGGGTACCAATCTCCACGAAGAACTGCAGATCACACAAACACAGGAACAGGCGTAAATGCAAATCCTCCGTTTACAATACAAAATTCCCTGCCATCGCCGTGGAAATAATTTAAATATTAAATAATGTAATGTGGACGTCAGTCAATTTCAAGTTAAACATACACGTATTCATTATACTATAATCATTGGTATCAAATTATAATAGTTTATTGACGCTTTGGCTTTACATTTCAGCGAGCAGGCCTTTGGAGTGCACGAAAATACTCAATGCAAAGTAGTGAAATAAAACATTTAAACCAGGGGCGGAGTCAGGGGGGTGACAGGGTAGACAATTGTCACCCCCGAAAAAATAAAAATTTGAAAATCTGAAACATTCTGCGTATAAGTGTACGACACTCGGTCTGACGGACTCCGTGCAACTGCATTGTCAGAGCGTGTCGCCAACCGATGGCGTGGGGTATAGCCGATTTCTCATTCAATAGTTGTTGAAATTAAAATTTGTTGAATGTCACCCCGGGCTGAAAATCCTGGCTCCGCCCCTGATTTAAACCACGTATGATCATGTAGGGAATATGATAACCTACGTGTCGTTTTCGGAATGACACGGAGGTAATCAGAGCCAATATGATTCCCAACTGGTTTGTAATGCCACGGAATGATATAGCCACATTTCTGTGGTTAAACCATCCACCATACCAACATTGCCAACCAAATTAAATAGTCACAGATGCAAGCGTAAAAAATAACTCTATTCTTCGGCTGTGTCGGTTGGTTTAGATGGTCTTACGACAAAAATTTAGCCTGCAAAACTACATGGCCTGGTCCAAAAATAAATTTCGAATCGCAATATGTTCTTACTGCGTGCAATCATTTCCACAATATGTTCCGTGCCGGGAAACAGTCGAGTGCTTACCACCAAGACGAGGATGGAAAAGCCAAACCAGGCAAGAGGGAAGGTGTAGCCATCAACTGCCGATGAAAATTGTCCATAGCAACCCTAAAAACATGAAATGAAGAATTAGCCACAAATGCCACAATTGCTGTTCCTGTAATGATTTCATCACTCGTGCATAATTTCACCAAAATTCAAGCTGTGGATGCAGGCCTACATAAAATATTAGCTTTTTTTTATCTGTAGTGAGAATTCTAATGAATGACATCAATATACACATAGTGCCTAGTCAAGATTTTGTTGGTCTATTAGTATTATACGAGCAGGAACCCGCGGAATTTCCGCGACGATTTTATCATGAGCAGGGCGCTATTTATCACCAAACTCGTACAACTTCACATGCACAAAAGACAGACAAATATCTCCCCCCCCGACAGACTGTTGCGGCAAGTGCTGTTAGCGAGCACGATGAAGGCCGACACGGCACACGAGGGGGTGGGTGGCCAGCACTACGCCCGACCGCCTTTGGGGCCGTCCATAAATGACGTCACGCGATTTTGGACGATTTTTGACCCCCCCCCCGTACGTCGTCACACAGCGTCACAAAAAGTCAGACCCCCCCCCCTCAAATATGACGTCACAAAGCTCTGCCCCCCCCCCCCAAATTAAACATGCTTCAAATCGCTTTAAATATTGTCATTGTAGTGCGTATTTAATGTGCCGCTGAACACTGATGTTGTAGGAGAAACGTTTATCAAAAAGTCTATTTAATTGAGAACGTGTTTATACAGTATTTATTTAAAGTTGCGCATTTTGATGTGACGTCACATTTCTCACACCCCCCCCCCTCGTCACACATCGTCACAAATATCTGACCCCCCCCCCCAGGTGCGTGACGTCATTTATGGACGGCCCCTTTGTATCCCGAGTGACGATGTTTACACATCGCACCAGGTACTAATTTGAGGCTGAGTCGACCGATGTGTATGTGTGACACAACAACAACCGCCATTCGCCACTAAGTGGCGGTGACGTCACCACGACGCTTGTGCCAGGCCATGTGCACCTTGAGGCCACTTGAAGTGTCGAACGCCCGCCGTGTGTATGTGTATGTGTGTGACACACACATACACATACACACTCGCGTACACACACACACTTTCAACACACACTCCCCAGCGGTGACGTGAGGACTCATTACAGATGGCCAAACCCATAATAGTTGAGCGGTTCGTTTCGCCAGCCCGAGTGGGCGTTTGCAAGTTGCATTGAAAAATATCCTTTGTTTTTTTTTTTCGGTAAAGTCACGTAGATAGAAAAAAAATTTGAATAAAGTTAATCAAAATGAAAACCACGACGTTTCGATCACAACACAAGCGATTGTATTTTTCGATTTAAAGCTTTCGTGACTCCAAGGATTCATCTTCTTTGGTTCTTTCGGTAAAGTCACGTAGAATGAGAATAAAATAATAAAATAAAATAAGACAATAAAATTCTCACGACGTTGCGGCCACAACACAAGTAGCCTTCTTCAGGTGAAAGAACAGAACTGTCGGGACGACAGGATAGGAATGGTATAGTATATGATGTTACCGTGCTGTATTATGCAGCGCCTGTGGCATTGCGCTCCGAGCGTTGATTTTGGTTGCCGGGGTTCGGAAAGGGTCGAGTGTGCTCACTTTTTGGAAGATGGCATCTGGCTTGCCCAGGATGCAGCCCATGCGACCGTACAGGTAATCGTCGTTTTCGTTCAGCACGCAGCATTTCGTGGGCCATGGGCTGTCGGCATCGTCCTCCTTGTGGTATATGCTAAAGGACGACGTGTAGGAGATCCAGTCCTCGGGTCCGTTCACCCCGCAGCATTTTTGCTGAAAAAATTCAAGGGCATAGAAGATCAATGGGGTCACACAAGTGGCCCTTAAAAAAAACAACTGCACCTATTTAATAATGTACGCGTAAAAAAACCACGAAAGATGACTAGTTAATTTTTCGGGTAAAGTTAAAAACGTTACTGAATTCAGTTTATACCAATTATGTTTGTTATCAATTATTATGAGGTTGAAATACTGCACGATAAACACAGGTTACATCATTGTGTGACACAAGTGATATTTAACCAATGGTAACAATGACAAATGTTTAACGTGAATTATGTTTGCTAGATTTTAAAGTGTGTGTTATCTTGAAATTGTTACATGCTAAAAATGCGCATACCGTTGACATCAAGTCCTTCCAGTTGTCCGTGAATGAAGGAATCTCGCCGTAATCACGAAGCATGTGCTTGAGCATCAAGTTCTTTGTGCCCACCAACTGCGAACGTGACAATTCATGAGTATATCTTCAGTTTAACTGTTGAACCATCTATGGGCAATGTTTTCTTTAATTAAAAATTTCATTCCAAATTTGTATAACGGGTACAATTTTATATTTAAGTCTTGCAAAACGATTTTTAGAAAAAATGCTAAGCCGCGTTAATAAGTGGTTTGGGGAAAACAATTATAATGCTATTTAAGTAATTAAACTTATATAAATTCCCATATTATTGTGAGCTATAACCAAACCCACAAGCCTCTTTTCTTGCACCCACACCAAGTCCTGCAGTTCGATCTCCCGAAATTGAATTAAAAGTCACAAAGTAAATCCACTCCCATGGCTTTTTGGGGATTTAGAAGCAGGGCTCAAATTCAGCTGTCAATGACCTGGAAACATCTGTCTGCATCCGGTACACCACATCCCTAGTGCCTCTTGCTATGGCTGTTGCTACTAGAGTGGTAGTGGAGTGGTTTGCGCTCTGCTCTTTGAACCCACCAACCAGAGTTTCATTCCCTCTCATGACCAATAACAGTGACGAATATTTGAACCGGTCCTCGGCCTCCCTTCGGTCGATTCAGCCTTAAATTAGTACCTGGTGCAATGCTTACTCATTACACATCATCACTGGGAAGAGTCATAGGCAGCCAGGCGTTTTGGCCATCTGCTCCCTCGTGTGCCATGCCAGCCTTCGTACGTGCTTGCTAACAGCACTTGCCCCAAGAGTCTGTTAAAGGCTATACGGGGGGTCTTTGTTACTACGAGTTAAATGCTTATTCCAGTCTAACAGCAACATGGAAAATATTCCGTGAGAAATTAAGCCCTGCTTAGAAGATGAATGTCTCTGAAACTTCAGAATATGATTCCCAGTGGCGTTTGACTTACATAGTCCCTGTGAGTGAAGATCACGATGCATGATGCTGCTTCGAAGATGAACACGATTAACATGAGGATGAAATACTGTAAAATACAAAAAAACACACAAGTGTGAAACACATGCCATATTAGTCGCACTGGTTTAACTACATGCAAAATTGCATTCAATACCCAGTACCGATCACGGTGAGTTAGTAAAATTATGAGAGCTGACCGGGTAATAAAGTCCTTTTAAAATTCATGACTAATGATAATGTTAATAAAACTGTTACAGGACAAGACCTCTACTGAAACGTCAATGTCATATACAGACTCGTATAAGAGTCTCATAGGGTTTAAATGCTAAGTTACCAAATAAGGTCCACAAGTTTAAATCACTCTAAATTTGAAGACCCGTCATTATGCACCCCAATCCTGGATAAGTGCATTGATTGTATACTGGTCTGTCCCTATTGATAAATTGCTGTGTTGATTTAACATCTTATCAAACATGTTTTGGCAGTCCCTCATGGTGCATCAATGTCAAAGTACAGACTAACCAAAAACACGTGGCTTTCTTCAATGACACTTTCATACACTTTAGACTTGACTGAAGATCAATGGGATAGATAGCTATCTCTCAGTATTAAGTTTTCTGCCCAAGAGCAAATAGACTTGAAATGGAGATAAAACTGTCACAATATTGCAATCTTCACCCTAAGGAGCATTGCTTTTGGGCAGAAACGCAATAAAATGGCATGAGATAGCCATCCACATCCTCGATCTTCATCTCCAATTAAGTCTGAGATATATGTGTGCGTGTGTGTGCGAGGAAGATCCACGGGGGTCCTTGTGAACTAATTCGGGGGCCTACCGCGAGCAGGGCAGACCGCTGCATCTTCCACACGGCGTACATCCCAAAGATGCCGAGCAGAAAGAAGGCAAAGCCACAGAAGATGGCGATCCAGGCTGCGGCGAAGATGTCCGTGTTGTTGTCGGCGGCCAGGAACGGGTACATTTTGTAAGGGTCGGTGACCACCCATATGGCCGTGGCCATGAGGGCCATCCCGCACAGCTGAGGACACACCACCGCGCATACCCGCCCCGTACTTTTGGTTAGTTTTGGCCAAGTCTATATTGGCAGTGATTTGATGGAATGCCACAATTTAGGGATGCGGTTTGATTTACAGAATCAATTCGTTCAACACCTGCTCAGTTTTGCAGCCACCATTGACTGCATGCAAGGGGTCACGTAGAATATTGATATTAACATGTAGTTTGATGCGTGCATTGTGAGCTCAAATATGGATATTAATCAATGAATCGATAAATCGTCATCTCGAATGGATACACGGGAACTGCAAAGTACTACGATCCAAAGCCCTAAAAATCTCAAACTGTACCCTAAATATTTATTAAAAAAAAAAACATTGTTTTGAATGTTCCATTAACACCGCACAAAATATCCACGTGCTGATGAACACACCAAATGAATACCACAAAAACACAACTGTGTGAGCACGTTCGTGGGAGATGTGCGTTGTACCGTAATGATGGCATTTCCGAAAAACACGAGCGCCCGAACTAACTTGGTCACAGAGGACCAATCCTCTTCGTATTTCACCATGCCTGGGCTTGTTCTGTGACACGGGAGGTCGGAGGCATTTATTAACAGCACGTCAATTCTATGGGAAAAGCTGCACGATTACAGGACTTCAGCACCACACCTATATTGCCTTCAAGGCAAATTCTCTTTCCCACAGTCTTCCTATACACGGCCAGCTGACTTGTCATCCATTTGGTACCAAAATAAATAACCGCAACTTTATAAATGGTGCGTGTACATAAACAGGCATTTTAAAGGCCACCAAATATCCTGTTTTTCATCAAGTATTCAAAAGGTTTTTCAAATACTAACCAAATTGCATTTATTTAGAAGTTAACTTATTTTGAAAACCCCACACCTTCATTCAATTTTTTTTTTTTACCAAATTAAAGTTTTATTACAATGCAAAATCCCACAGCGCCGATCTCTACAAACGTTTAAAATCCCATTCGTAAATGATTTTGATCGCCCATCAAGCATCTACTGAAAACGTCGTTTACTTTTCTAAACGTTGCACACTACTCGATGCACATATACAAATGGCTGCAAATGCGTGATGATAAATCAAATGAAGGAATACATATGTGCAGAATCGAATAGCATCTCTTCTCTGCCTTGCAGTGTGCTGGGTGAATAATGCCCGACATGCCACGTGCAAGCAGCATAGTATCTACGTGATTTTGTTTGTTTTTCCATGTCAGATGCAGCCAATTTAGAGTAAAAAGATACTTTTCATCAAAGTTCTGTAATGCCAACTCAGTGCAGGCAAACCTATAAAACACGCATTCTCATCGTGTATCACAAATGTATGCTACTCGACATCTAGTTTTAAATCCAGCCCTATCTGTACACTCTCACAATGCCTTAAAAAAATCCGGCATGTCATTTTAATCAAAGGTCATGTTTCTTGATTATCACTCAGTTCACTGACAAATAAAACGAGCAGAACAGGTAACGTATAGCCATCAGTCGAAAGCGTGTGTAAGTACACAATTACGTTTCCTTGCGTAGGAAAAACCCTAAGCAGTTTCGATTTAAAGCTTTACGTTTTCACCGGTACATTAAACCAGATATATAAGTATCCTAAATTACATGGTATTTTTCTATGTCACTTGATGGTTCGGTAATGTTGAAACTGAACCAGTGAATATACTTGCAGCTATTGTATACACTCTGTGAAACGTTGTAACCTTTGCTGACAAGACTTATTCTCCAATAGCGTTTCCCAAACTGCGGCATGCGTATGTCAGCAGTGGTTATATGAGCAGTCTGTAGGCGACACGCCAAATCGTGTATATATGGGTACACATGTATAAAATTGTAACACAGTGCTAAATATTTTATGTCGTTCAGTACAAATAGTTTGGAGAGGTTATATTACCATTTTGTAGGTGGCACATCGGCTTAAGTTATGTTTAAAATTATGGTAAGTTGAACTTCTTTCGCACCGTACGTAGCTAACCGTGCTAATCGGAGATGCGGGGTAAAAACAACAATCAGAGTGAGCCAAGTTTGGGAACCGCTGCTATACATTACTTAAAGCCAAGTTAAAATGCAACAGCAATAGAACACCCTTACCTGTATGCACTCGTCGAGATGCTGGGGTTAAACGTGCCAGGTGGGGCAAGTGCTTGCAGTGTCACGCCTCGGAATTCCACCGAGTGGCTTTATAGCCACAAGTTCTAACCCAAGTACGCACGTACACTTACAGACAAGTGCGCAAAAAGGCCAAGACCCAACCCAAGTCATGGGTGTGCCAATTGCGCATCTATTTAATGAAGCATACGCACAAACCCTCACACAACGCCCTCAAAAATATTTAGAATTGATTTTTTTATTAAAGTTTTTGTTTAGTGGTTATCAGTGGTTACAATGATGAATAAGAAACAGTTTCAACCACACGGACATCTCCATACACACACATCAAGGGGTGATATATGATTTTAGCATGCGAAAGTACTGTATTATTTAAACAAAGTGGCCAAGTTGACAACACAGCAATGTGTGATGTATAAAACTATTCATGCTGTAGGAACATGTAAAGTTGAATCATTAGGGCAAATTAACCGCAGAATAAACAATAGAGGCCTTGCTCGAAGCCTGATTTTATGTTTGATACTATATGATGGACAAACAGCCAAGAGTCTTGCTGTCGAAACAGATGCCACCAATTGTCGAAACAGCACATGTTCACGTCACACCAATCAGTCAGACATTCACTGCCAACGTCACACTCTCATGTTGCTGGTCATCCCTTGGGTGTGTGTTGATGGAGGCATCTCGCATTTGTATTCATGAATCCCGTTCACATGGGGACCCTGAGAAGAGGAATAAACAAACAACAAAAAGAACCAATCACAAGACACATACATTAACTGTAACGGAAAAAAATGTATCAACTTGTACACGTACATCGCATATTAAACCAATGTCTATGTAGGAAGTTAACATCCAATAATTGTGTGTTTTTGTGGGAGGTATATATCATGCATCGATGAACACTTGAGGGTATCCTACATCATTATGACAACACTTTCTGATACAATGTTGGTTTGAAGCTTTCGTGACTGCAGGAATCCATGCTCTTTGGTTCTTTCGGTAAAGTCACGTGGGTAGAAAAATAATAATAGATCACGACGTTTCGATCGCCACACAAGCAATCGTCCTCAGGTGGGAACGATTGCTTGTGTGAGGACGAATTGCTTGTGTGGCGATCGAACCGTCGTGATCTATTATTATTTTTCTATCTACGTGACTTTACCGAAAGAACCAAAGAGTATACTTTCGTCCGTGCAAGCATCTTGCCTAATTCTTTTTACCGGTAATAAGAACAGCAGCACAATGCCATCAGACACATTCACAAATTGCATGCTGTACAGGCTGTCATTTTTGTCAACAGCCTCAATTGTTACCTTTTATGAAAAAAGCGTGAAGCATTTCAAAAACATCGACTGTGAGTGTCCATAGGCAACATCATTAACGAGGCTTGTAGGTTCGATAGCAAACACACGCTGATATGTTTATCGATATTCAATATATATGACACTCATGGAAAATGATAATGCTTGAGGATCAATAGCAAAGTCGTACATTAAAATACTTCACTAATTTTGAGTGGCAGCGTGGCACAGTTGCTGTTGTCTGGGACTGTTGTTTTGCTGCCTTGCCCAAGCTTATATTTATTGTTAATGAATCGGCAGGAATTGATATACTTTCGTAATTAGCATTTATGTATTGTATTTATTTATTTTGAGTGACTTGCTTACCTTACCTATACTTTGCACTCGGAAAGATTTTTGCATTATTGTAACTTTCTGACTTTCCCCTACTGGACATCTGTGAAAAAGAGCTTCATAGGCTCAGTTGATGCCTTAGGTCCAATTTAAGATTCTGATTCTGGTAACACTTGCACGTCACAACAAGTAAATCCAAGGGTTCGATTCCAGACTCGAACGCCTTTCTGTGTGGAGTTTGTATGTTCTTCCCCGTCATTGCATTAGTTTCCTCCAGCTTCTCCAGTTGGCTCTCATAGCTAAAAATAATATATTAAAAAACACGCTTTTAAGAAATGTACTAGTAATGGCAGAACTCGACGACTCCAGGAAGTGGCCCCCAAGCTTGCCATGACGTAAGGGGACCGTGGCCAATCACAGCCAACGTCAGTTGACCATGGACAATTAGACCCAAGCCGAAACATAACATGTAAAAAAATAACGTTTAAAAATATCTTTTTATTTTTTACGATATAATATAGTATTGTCATCAGTATGACATAAGTATACCAAGTTTGCAGTCGATACCACATTGGGAAGTGGGTTAAAATTGAGTTACAAGATTTGATGATACAACAACGACAAAAACAACAGACAGAGTGAGTTAAGAGAAAGCGTGTAAAAATGGTATTTGCCAAACACACCATCGTTAAAAAAATCACCTGCAAATGACTCAATTGGGATAACACTTAGCAAAATCATCCTTTATTGCAAAGAAAACGTGTCAGAAACCCAAAAAAGAGCCTTGAGGCTCAGTGAGGCTTTGATCGGTAAACAAGCAAAATAAAATAATGCAACTAACTTCCTCAAGTAATCACTTAACAGTAAACTATTGAGCCCTCTATTTAGTATTACTACCAAATATACTTTTAGTGATAACGACCATATTTTGTTCAGCTATAACATATTTTCTACACGTTAAAAACAGCACCCAAGAGACAGGGACAATGAATTACTTAATTGCTCGACTCCATATCTTCTGTTAATAAACTCATGCTGCAGAGATGCCAGTCAACACACCTTGAGTTGGGTGGAGTGCAGTTCGGCATCACTTTGGTTTGTATGGGAGGGAAACCAGCTCTTTCTGTTCCATGAGAGATTGGAACACACGCCCCGTAAAAAAGACAAATTGTAAAAATCACGCCAGTCACCCAAACATTTCAGGGGTTTCTGAGCAGATCCGTTCAGTACACACATCGAATATAATTGCATAGCTTGTACACTACACTGAAGCTATCGATGTCATTTCAACACATTTTAATGTATGAAGAGTATAAATGCATCTGAAGATGATGTACAATCATAAAGACGTACACGTTATGAGATCATGGGGAAAGAAGAAAGATGATTTTTTTAAGGTAAAGGTACTGGGGTAAATGATTTCTGTACCGATAGATTCAAGTAGCCTCTGACCAATTCACCTGGAATGTGCCTGGTCTTGTCAGATCTAAGAAGCTCAGCAGGGCTGGGTACAGTTCGTGCTGGGATGGGCAACATGCATCAATCAGGCGTAATAGGCTGTGGGACTACAGTTTGGAGGAGCAGAGGGAATTTGCAGCACAATCCATTGCTGTACAATACTTAGAGATTGCCATGTCTGTGTTTCCCACCTTCACGAATCCCCCCACAGCAACCCACGCATTCCAAATTAGCTCACAACTAGTTGTGGTGAAACACAGCAGTCTCTGTGTAAATCATGATTCAACAACGTCTTCCATGTAAAAGAGGGATGAGTAAAATTCGTCTCAATAGGCAGTTAGGCAATTTATATTTCAGTGCCATATACTGTAGATAAACTGTGTAACGTAAGAACACAGATTCCATGTGACCCACACACCCAGCTAAATAATGTTTTGGAGTGATCCAATTCGTGATTCTGCAAACACACCCAAGCAGAATGCTATGGACAGTCACCAGTTAGCGCTATTTTAAGGATACACCCATAATATTACACTTGAGAAACTCCCCCCCCCCCCACCACAATTATTCAAAATGACACAGAAGTAATGCATGCACGATGCAGTGCCAGATGCCTGTTTCTCGTAGGACTGCATCATTATTTTAAGCATCAACACTGTCTTTAAAGCTGCAGGCAATGTGACCTTCGCTTGGTTAATTTTACGTTCTAAAAAAATCAAATGCGTCAATGCGAGACCGTCAGAGATGCACAACAGCTTGGCGAGACATTCACCCCAGCAGTGGCTTGATCATGACTGATGATGACGATGATAAACAAATACTCGATTGTACAGTCATGTGTTACCTTCATCCTGTCTTCCCTTTGCTTACGGAGCAAAGTCAGAATATCCTCACGACGTTTCGCCTGGTAAAATGTTAAACACAGGAACACGATGATTTAAATTCATCACACGTGCATAATTGTTCAACATGATCAGTGTAAGAAATGGTAGACAGCATGTAATTGATGTGTTATTAAACGCAAAGGTGTGGGAAGCTACATACACAACATCAATAATATAATGAATATACGCACACATTTTTCATATTTGGTCCTCTCTTCCACTTTTTCTTTTAACCTTGTCTTCATGGAAAAGTCTTGCTCCTCTGTGGACATGGTAGAAAAATTATGAGACAATCATTTTACTCCTGTTCATTGGTGTTTTATTCACTGACATTACAAATATCACGTCAGAAACAAATACATTTCATTATTCCTTTTTTTTAATAACTATCAACTCAATGAGTTATTTTAACGCTTCTTGCACGTAAAACATTTCTCAATACTGTACTTCTAAAATTCAAAATTACTTCACGTACAAAATATACCTTTATAATGCAACATTTTATCATTAAAGTGAAATAAATTTCGGTCTGTTATATGTTGTATGGGGCCGTCCATAAATGACGTCACGCACCTGGGGGGGGGGGGGGTCAGACATTTGTGACGATGTGTGACAAGGGGGGGGGGGGGGGGTTGAGAAATGTGACGTCACATCAAAATGCGCAACTTTAAATAAATATAGACAACACGTTCTACTTAATTAAATATACTTTTTAATAAATGTTTTCTCATACAACATCAGAGTGTGGCGCCACATTAAATACGCACTACAAATACCAATAGTTTAAAGCGATTTGAAGCATGTTTTATATATATATATTTTTGGGGGGGGACAGAGCTTTGTGACGTCATATTTGAGGGGGGGGGGGGTCTGACTTTTTGTGACGCCGTGTGACGACGGGGGGGGGGGTCAAAAATCGTACAAAATCGCGTGACGTCATTTGTGGACGGCCCCTATGCAGTATACACGTGTGCACTGTGAACCCAGTGGCGTCTGGGTTAGATTTCCCACCCGTGGCAAACATGAGAGGCGAGAGATATCTGAACCGTTCCGAGCCCTTCAGCCTTCACCAATCTCTTACAGACCAGCGTGGTGAAGTATAGTCAAACATAAACTAAACAATTTTTTTTTTTTACCAGATAAGGCCCTCTGACCTGGCTATCACAAATGATAGCTCAACGAAGTGGCCGATCATATAAATTTATAGCTAGCAGCTAAATACTCTAAACGCCGTGATGTCGATTCTAAATGTTGTGGGAAAACCCGGAGGACCCGGAGAAAAATTCACGCGAATACTGGGAGAGAGGCACGCAAACTCCAAATATGCATCAGGCGTCAGGGTAGGGAACGAACCCATTAATACTTTCAGATTTAATTTGGCTGTAAATTAATATTGTTACAATTGTGTACAATCAAAACGTGCAATGCTATTCCTTAATAGAAACACGTGGATAGCCGACTGTATGTGAACGTGTCTGATTGATCTGGAAGCTTACTTGTGTCAGTTGAAAGTGGTGCCTGTGTATCGCTTCCTGCTGAAGACACATGCCAATACAAATTCATCAGTCAGCTTGTGTTTATCTTTCACACTTTTCTGTGAAGACTCTGTGTACTTTACTTTGTATGTCCTTGATTCATCGTAACTAAGTTATAACCAGCGGTGAGTGCCTGCCAGTTTTTATTACCAAACATCTGTGGGGTCAGTTGTGGCTTGAGATCTGTAAATCTTACCTTCCGTTTAACAAGAGCAAAGCCACTTTGCCGAGTATGTAACCAGCAAAGCCTCATTGAGTGTCTCACTACTTTTTCAGGAGGGTCCTGCATTGTGAATGTTTGCCTCAAACCTTTAATTAGGCTTTGGCTTGTGGTAGGAGACATGAGTACCCATGGAAACCCCACACATACGATGCTGCAGTATGAACAACACACCAAAGTTGCTCTCTGTAACTCTGTCAGCCACCACCTCTCTGTCCGACAGGTGTCCGTTTCTCTACGTGCGTCTGTGCCTCTCCAACTCAACGCCTCTTTCGCGTCTCGATGTGCCTCTCCGTCTCTCCGTGTATTCCTTCATCGCACAGTCAAACCCAGCCAATTAAGGCCGGGGGGCTTTATTTTCAGCCGGCTATGTCCGGGTCAGCGGCCCGTCAAATAATTTCGCACCCAGGACAAACACCACATTACCTCGAACTGCTGCTGGCTGTGGCCACTAGACACACATGCCACGTATACCCCATTCTGACAGCGACCCCTAGAACATTCGGCGATGAGGAAAAAAAAGCCCTGGCTTAAGGGGCAAGCAGCCAACTCCAACCACGTACGCGGGCCCCGCTCCCTGTCCGCCACCCGCAGCCGTTGCCTGATGTCGGCCGAGACGAGACGCGACTCGAGCGGCGGCTCCAGGCAGGCCGACCTCCAGAGGGCCCGGGCCACCTCCACGTCCCCCGCCTCAGAGCCAGTGAACGCGGCGCAAAGCTCCCACCACCGGGTGCCTTCCTCCTCCTCCTCCATCTCCTTTTCCATCGGATCTTGCTCCTGCTCCTCGGCGTCCCCGCCTAGGGCCGCTCGGGCGGCGCCTCCCCACTGGCCGAGGTGCGCCATGCTCCGTCCCGCGAGACTAGGAAAGACCGGAGGCTTATTCTCGGCCTCAGCTCAGGCCGCGCGTCCTTGACGACGGTTGCCGTGACAACGGTTGCTATGATGCAAGCCCATTCACAGCTTCGAGATATCGTATATTAAATTTTGATTTAAAGCTTTCGTGACTGCAGTAATTCATATTCTTAGTTTTTTCGGTAAAGTCACGTTGAAGAGAAACAACAAAATAACAAAATATATATAAAACAATAAAAAATTCTCACGACGTTTCGACCATAACTCAAACGGTCATCATCAGGTGTGTCGGTTTGCATAAATTTATTTTGAAAACGGCATATTTATTTATATATATAAAAATAACGTTTGCGTCACGCGCAACGATGGCAGTTTGCCAGGACTAGTCCATCTATTTTTTGAAAAGAGGAGGGGGGAGACGAAATTTGTTTTTATGTATGCTGTCTGAAAGGCACTGTAAGCGTGAACAATCAATCAAGAACTGAAATGATTTATCAAATCTTTCCAATGATTGCTAAGATAGAATCCATCTTCTCGGTTGAAATTGTCTCTGTGTTTGTATATGTGGATAGCCTCATGAACGAATCTCTCATGGAAGCCAGATGGCTTACAAAGAACCTCCGTCTTGGAAAAGTCAATGGCATGTGAGCCTACTGAATTAGAACAATGATCTGCTACGGCCGAGGTGTTGGTCCTACCGTGTTTAAGGTCTGCTTTATGTTCACGAATGCGGTCCGAGATATGGCGTTTGGTTTCTCCAATGTAACTACTACCACAGAGGCAACTTAGTTTGTAGACACCAGGGTATTGTATGTCCGGAATCACATCTTTTACAGACGGAACCAGATCACGGATTTTATGTAATGTGTTGAAACGGACCTGGATCTTGTGTTTATTCAAGATTTTGGAGATCTTTTTTGTGATCCCAGCAATGTAGGGTAAAGTGATGGTTTTGAAAGGCTCCTCAAGAGGGTTCTTCTTCATGGTTTGAGTGATAGCTTTGCGGATTGTATAGTCGGAGTAACCATTAGCCCTAAGAGCTTGGTGTACGTGCTTGAGTTCACTGCTTATGTGTTCCTTACACCCAGCCATCAGATTTACCATGGAAGTCGAAATAGATGGCAAGATACCTTTTTTGGATGTCCTAATTAAAAAGAGACCTGATGGTTCAATGAGCCACTCTGTCTACAGGAAAGCTACCCATACGGATGCTTATCTGAAACCGGATTCCCACCACCATCCATCACAGAAGAATTCTCTCATCAAGACTCTGTATCATAGAGCCCAATGCATATCCGACCAGGAACACATAAGCAGTGAACTCAAGCACGTACACCAAGCTCTTAGGGCTAATGGTTACTCCGACTATACAATCCGCAAAGCTATCACTCAAACCATGAAGAAGAACCCTCTTGAGGAGCCTTTCAAAACCATCACTTTACCCTACATTGCTGGGATCACAAAAAAGATCTCCAAAATCTTGAATAAACACAAGATCCAGGTCCGTTTCAACACATTACATAAAATCCGTGATCTGGTTCCGTCTGTAAAAGATGTGATTCCGGACATACAATACCCTGGTGTCTACAAACTAAGTTGCCTCTGTGGTAGTAGTTACATTGGATAAACCAAACGCCATATCTCGGACCGCATTCGTGAACATAAAGCAGACCTTAAACACGGTAGGACCAACACCTCGGCCGTAGCAGATCATTGTTCTAATTCAGTAGGCTCACATGCCATTGACTTTTCCAAGACGGAGGTTCTTTGTAAGCCATCTGGCTTCCATGAGAGATTCGTTCATGAGGCTATCCACATATACAAACACAGAGACAATTTCAACCGAGAAGATGGATTCTATCTTAGCAATCATTGGAAAGATTTGATAAATCATTTCAGTTCTTGATTGATTGTTCACGCTTACAGTGCCTTTCAGACAGCATACATAAAAACAAATTTCGTCTCCCCCCTCCTCTTTTCAAAAAATAGATGGACTAGTCCTGGCAAACTGCCATCGTTGCGCGTGACGCAAACGTTATTTTTATATATATAAATAAATATGCCGTTTTCAAAATAAATTTATGCAAACCGACACACCTGATGATGACCGTTTGAGTTATGGTCGAAACGTCGTGAGAATTTTTTATTGTTTTATATATATTTTGTTATTTTGTTGTTTCTCTTCAACGTGACTTTACCGAAAAAACTAAGAATATATCGTATATTCTTGGTTCTTTCGGTAAAGTCACGTTGAAGGGAAACAATAAAATATATAATAAATATATAATAAAATATATAACAATATTATATTTTATTGTTTCCCTTCAACGTGACTTTACCGAAAGAACCAAGAATATGAATCACTGAAAGCTTTAAATCAAAATTTAAGAGGCCAGTAATTGGTGAGTTTGGCTTAGTCCACTGTCCTTAAATTTCGATTTAAAGCTCTCGTGACTGCAGGGATTCATATTCTTGGTTCTTTGGGTAAAGTCACCACCACGTAGAAGGGAAATAATAATTTAAAAAATAATTGCAACACAAGCAATCGAAACGTCGTGAGAAATGTATTTTTTATATGAATCCACCGTCCTTGATGAGCTTAAGAAAACCCCACCACGCCTACGAGGGGATAACAAACGTCCCCACCAAGTGTGTGGCGTCAGCCCTCTAAAGCTGTGATCTCCTGGTCCCCTCGCGAGGCTTTGGGACTTTCAAGACGTCGCTCCGTGGATCGCCTCTGTCCACCCGGTAGTGCAAGTGGGTGCACCGCAGTGGATCGGCAGGTCGTGTGTGACCGGGTAAAGTGAGTGGGGAACTCCCCACCTCTTCCAAGATATCTGGCAAGTGTGGAATAATCGCTATTGAGGGTTCTCCAGTGGAGGCCCCTGTACGTACGTGGAACTTCTTTCGCACCATACGTAGCAACTGTGCTAATCGGAGATGCGTAGGGGGGGAAGGGCAAGCTAAACACACAAAAAAACTGTTCTTAACGAGTGTTATTCTCAATCTAGATTTAAAAGTGCATAGCTCCAGTGGCTTCCTAATATTCGCCAGCAGTGTCAATGACTCGGGCACTGACCTGGATCATTCCAGGGTAAATCTTTTTGCAGATGACACGATACTGATTACTGCTGGCCGCTCTCCGGATGACGTGATTGCTAAGCTACAGGGTGATTTCAACAAACTACAACATCAGCTAGTTTCTCTTAAACTAGTCCTGAATACCTCCAAAACCAAGGTGCTATGCTTCTCACCGGGACTAAAGCAGGAAGTTATTTTTCCCCAATTACATTCCTTAAATAATTATCTCATAGAGCAAGTCAAGATCTATAAGTATCTTGGGGTCATCCTGGATTCAAAACTGAATTCTGAAGATCACATTGATTATATTGGTAAAAAGACAAAAATTGGTTTTCTGTATCGACACAAGCACTGCTTCCCCCCTATGTTCCGTTTGGAATTGATAAAAGCTACCATACTGCCTCTACTTGACTACTGTGACATCGTGTATAAATCAGCCCCAAGTACTGTACTTAAGAAGCTTGATTCCATCCATCACTCGGCCTTAAGATTTACATATAGGACTCACCACTGTGATCTCTACATTGGGTCAAACTTAACATATCTTAATGTTCGACGGCTTGTGCACCAGATCTTATTTATTCACGATGTACTTATAAAAAAAATCCGCAACTACCTTCTGGATCTCCTCTCTGTTTCAAAGAACGAATTTGACCTAAGGTCTTCGCTCATTTACCAGCTTCACATAACCTATTGCCGTACAAAAACCGGAGGAAGGACCTTTGCTATTGATGCCCCCAGGGTCTGGAATGCTATTGCTAATGAACTGCAACTTGAATCACTACCTATGAGATCTTCTCTCAAAACTGCTCTAGAGGAGTTGTACACCCCTAGCTGCCACTGCTATTCATTGGCGTAAAATAAAATGTTTCGCTCCGGATGATGCTACAAGGTATTATCTGTATTTTGATTTAGCGTGCTGATCTTAAAGGTGCATTGAAACATTTGATACTCCGACTGATAATTCTGTTGTTGTGGAGTAACTCATGCAGCCAGCTTTGGCTCTAGGATTTGGTGTTACATTTTATTTATGTAGTTTATTGTAAAAAATTCGGTCACAGTCCCTATGATCACTGTTACGTTGCAATTATGGCTTTATTTTTTGGTGATTTCGAAAACGTTTTTTGGTTTGGACATGTTTTTTTTGTTGTAGCACGGAGTTAGACGGATGGCCTTAATCTAAGTTTTCTTGTTGTTGTTTGACTTGCATCCCACTGGGATTGTTTGCACACAGCGTTGGTGTACGGTGCTTTTTTTAGGAATATTTTGCTGTTTATTCATGGATTTTCTGTTTGCACAGTCACATAGTCACTTTAAGATGTTTTCTTGTTCGTGTTTGTTTTTTTTATGTTGTGGTTGCACCCAATTCAAGAGCCAAATGGCTCACAGGGCTATACCAAAATAAATAAACTGAAACCGAGCGAAGAATCACAGGGCTGCACCTTTGATTTTTTTTACCTTACCACAAATCTATGCCTTCAATACGTTCACCTCAGCCTTCATCATCCACTTTATAGGATTGACCTTCTCCTGCGGCAAAAACCGAACCGGCCGAGCCAGCTATGCAACTCGGCCGACAGGAATCAACTCGCAAATTGGGGAGAGTTGAAGAAGCCCAATCACTTAAATAAATAAATACCCTTAATCCAGAAAGTAAATCTTCACCGTCAACACTTTTTTCAGGGAGGGTGCTGCAATGGAATGTTTGGCCAATTTTAATGAGCGCATTTGTGGTATGGAAATCCGAGCACCCGCAGAAAATAACATTCCACGGAATAACAAAAAGCTCAACCCGGATGATTTCCTGCACTGCAATCTACGACTGACCTCCTCGCAGCATAACTTCTTTGTGTGATTCACAGACGGACGTGATCCACAAACCCGTGCTTCCAGTTCTGGATGAGGTGCAAATCGGCACCTCATCCAGAACTGGATCAGGTGCCGTGTGGATTTCTGGAGTGTAAAATTTCAATTGAAATAGGAACAAATGCCCAACTTTGAATTAAAACAAGTTTTCATCATTCAAGTCATACGAGTTACGTAATAGACAATAACAACAAGTAATTGGCAGTGGTTATAAAATACACACCCAGGAAATGACACTGATTTGATGCTTACATTGAATTATGAAATTGCTAATTATCTAATACGATATAGCATTTTGTATCTGCATGCCAATTTCTATTCGTTGCCAATTTTGAAAAGTAATGACAATGAAAAAAAAGCTGAACAATTTAATAATTCATCAGGACAATTGCACGCATTTCACGTTATTAATGCATTAGCTGTTTTAATATTTTAAAGTCTGCACATTATTACACACTTGTTAAATATAGTATTGGAAGCAAATGAATGACATTTAACACTATGTACAAATACACTTTTAATCATGCCATACAATATCACCGTGTTCAATGCACCTTTTATATCTACACCAGACTTTCAATTCCATTTCTCTCAAGTTGTACAGATTCTGTATATGTAGCATTAGCTTTTTTTTGTCATGCGTAGCGCCTACAGCCATGACACAAGTACCAGGGCGCTGCGTGATGTGTGGGTATTCAGAGCATGCGCCCTGTCTGCGGCATGAGTAGGAGCTCTCTCTGCAGCACAGGGTCGCCCCCGACTGGTACCCGCCGGCCCCCTGCCGTGCTGTCCGTCACCAGCGTGATCTTGTTGAACACTCCGCGACCAAAGTATTTGGCCACGACAGCGAAGCCATCCGATGAATGCTGCAGCTGTCGGGAGACAATCGTGACAGAACAGTGCAACTTATTTCAGCAATATGAAATCAAGCAGGAACTTTATACAGAGCAGTTAACGACCCATTAAAATGTGACATTTTTGCAGGGGCCATAATTACCAACATAAAATTTGACACTGATTACAAACATTGTTTTTTTAAATCGAATTGTTATAATTTTATGAAAATTAGAACCAAAAAATTTTCAGCAATTTTCCACGTGTTTTATTATAGGAAACAATTATTCTGTTTATCAATGTTTGAAGAAACGTTTGTGTGGATGACCAAGCCAACAATTGTTGGATATATTTACCAAATGATGCAATACCACATGGCTATGACCAAATAAATCAGAATGCACCCGATCTCCTCAGATCTCAGTAGCTCACCAGGTTGATCCTGGAAAGTGTGCGGCAGGGTGGCCACCATGCACATCAGATTTTTAAAACCTGCTGGGTAAAGTAGTGGGTAGCATAGGGCATTGCAGAAAAAAATCCACTACTATGTTGTATTTATATGTACGTATGTTTAACTACTTTCGCACCGTTTGTAGCCAACCGTGCTAATCGGAGATGATACCATGTGTATGTTCACCGCCTTCACCAACCTGGACTGACCGGCACGAAGTGTTGGTCAGGTAACCCCCACAACCACATAGAGCATCGACAGGCCCTCTCATCCATCAGTGAATTGACACACACCTCGTGGTGGAAGGTCTCGTGCAGATCCCGTGAATGCTCTTGAGCGCGAATGCGCTCCTGTAGCTTGCGGTTTTCGGGCAAGCAGGCGGGGCACTCGGCATCGCTCTCGGCGTAGCCCTCGAAGCAGTGCTGGTGGTAGGCGTGCTCGCACAAGAAGTGCACAGATGGCAGCTCCAGCGGATGCTTGCACACGCTGCACTTTGTCACCTGAAAAATTTTCGCACTGGTGGAGAAAAAAAGAGAGTTATAAATCATCAATCTATAAAGTCACAAAACAGCTGTCTAGAGCGTTTTTTTTCATCTGTAAGTACCTTTCCTTGTAACAGTGAATACATTGTTGATAAGTACCGGTGCAACTCCACGGGAATTAGTCACAACCATGATAAAAATTTGTGTCCTTTGTTTTAAGGGTAAAGCCAATGAAACATAAGCATAGCTTCAGGAATGGAAATAAGTTGACAATGAGGAACACAGACAGTCTTTTCCCATATTTCGCACTGAGAATATTATTAGTAGTTGGCGCAATGCGCTATGAACTCAGCGACCCGAGTTTGATTTGTGGCCAAGGATAACATCAGTGGCAAGCAATATATGAACTGGTGCTAGGACTCCCTTCACAAACCTACACTGCATTGATCAGCGTGGCGAAGTATGGTCAAGTATAGGGAAGGTTTGATAAAGCAGTAGAAAGATTAATCGTTGTAACAGTATTTTGATTTCAAGAAAAATGTATTAACTTGAACAACTTATTCTTTTCCAAAATGGAATTGTTACTATTTCATAGTCATGCATGACGGTTATTAAAAGATGCAAATAGTTCATTAGAAACTAGATTACAGTAACTGCTACAATTGTGTATTACAGTTTGAGTAAAACCTTGGTGGGCAAAGAGGCTTTGTGTACAAGTGGTGCTGTAACTGTGCATACACACCCATATGTATGTAGAACTTCTATGTATAACCGTGCTAATCGGAGGTTTGGGGGAAGGACAACAAACTACACAAAAAGCAATTTTAAAGAAATTAGTTTTCAATCTAGATGATTTAAAAGTGCATAGCTCCAGTTATTTCCTAAATCAGAAAGAAGAGCGTTCCAGACGACCACAGAAGCGCATCTGAAAGCGTGCGATGCGGTGACCATCTTTGTTCGATTGCCAGTCAAAAGCCGCTGTGAGGATGACCAGAGTTCGTGTGATAGTTTATTCTCCAGCACATACACACACCTGGTGCGCAGCTCCTCAATATGGCCACGGATCTTCTCCGTTTCCTCTCGATACCCACGCACGTACTGCTCATCCTCCGCTATCTGCTCGCACTCTGACTGTAGCCGCCGGATGATGTAGTCCTTGATGACTGCCAGTGTGGCTGTTGAGTTGTGAGCCAGGGTCTGCACCACTGCCAATATGTATGTACCACAACAAATATTGAATAAGTTTAATATCAGGAACATTTGGCCAAATCACCCAGAATACGTTCGACCTCACAGATATTAGAAACTCGGCATGGTGGAGCCTGGATAGAGCTTGGAAGGGCAACCACGATGCACAAAACAGGTGTTATAGACTGCTGTGGGATTGTTGGGGGCTGGGCAGCAACATTGTTGAACTGTCCTTCTATGCTCATAACCACATGCTCTCCACCTTCAAACCAAACCGCACTGACCAGCATGGCGAAGTATGATCAGATAACCCCTCTCCCTATGACCTATAGGGTGGTATGGAGGCCCTCATCCAACAATTTATTGACAATGGTATGTACATTAGGAACTGTGATCATTATAAATGTCGAAAAGAGCGTTTTAACAGTTACAACATTGACAATGTTTATGAATGCGAATGTGCAATGTGGCTGCGGTGGTTTTACCAAGAAGGGGCGGCATGAGGTTATTTTGGTCGATGTGCTGTAGCACCTCCGTGATGAACGGCCGACAGTTTTCCTCCTTCCGCGCAAAATATCCCAGGGCCTGCTCCCACAGGCAGCTCTCACGGTCACTGTAGCGCTTGCACGCTTCGATGACACGTTGGTAGTCATCGCTTTCCATGTGAAACCGCACTATCTGCTGATATCTGCTCCGGGAAACAAATACGCAGAATTCGTATATCCACACACATGCAATGATGTAGAAAATCATGACCGTCACACTTGCCAAAGGAGCGCATTTAATGAGGCATCCAGCATCTGCTGTTGCCACACTGTGCTTTTCTTCCCAAATTGCTTCACTTTATCATCCCATACCCTTAAGGCTCTCAATCTTCCGATTAAATATTTTTTTTGCAATATCGCAAATAGTGCTCAACAACGGATGCTCATGAGTCACGGCAAACGTTACTTTATTATTCAGTAATATTCACAGAGTTCCTAAAGTGGAAAATGTGCGCACTCACAGCTGTGCCTTCTCGTAGAGGAACAGAATGCCATCCTTGAAGTTGTTCATCTGACACATAATGAGGGCCTTGTCGAAGTTGCTGTTGAACGCTCCGCTCGTCAGCAGAGCCATTGTGGCATTTTCCAGGTTCTTTTTTTTCTAACTCATCCAAACGAAAGAAAACCGAGTGTCATTACTTCCATGTGCTCCTATTAGAGGTAAAATGACTGCTGCGTTTGTGAATACTGCAGCCATTTGCTCCACCACACAATGCAGTTATTAAAAAGTAGAATATCTTACATCTCCTGCGATTCTCTTCTGTTATTACTGATGAGCTACAACTTGAGCCTAATTAACATGAAATATGTACACAAGCATCAACAAATATGAATGTTTGCAAGGCAGAACTAAAATTGCATGGTTATGAGTTAACTTAAAATAAACGTTTAGTCATCTCTGTACTTTTTGTTGGAATTCAACTCCCATACTGGTATGTCTAACAAACTCAATTAAAGCTGCCATTGTGTAACATGAATGAAAAACTATTTTGACTGACAGCCTAACCAGTTGGGCAAAAGTATACCTACCAAACGCTCGTAAAGTTCAACCTGGTTAAGCAGTGATTGGTAGTGGTCTGTCTTATACCCCCTTGAAGAGAGGTAAAAATATACAGTTGTAAAAATGTGTTAACTAAAATATCTCTGATTTCATGTATCACAATATCTCCCACCAGCAAAAGGAGAGAATAGAGATAGACAACCCACTTAACTCTCTGCAACTACTTACATAATTTAATATCAACAACACCTAATAGCTAAGCAATGAATCGTATTCTGGTGCTGGCACACCTGTGGATCAGTCTCGTGCATCCAATCGCACAGGTAAAGCTCCAGCAAGGTGTCGTTGACACCCTGCGAACATCGTGGCTGCACCTCAGCCATGTGCTCCAAAAATGCTTTCAGCTGCTCCCGGTTATTGGCATATATGTGGATGAATTCCTCCGGGTTTGCCTGCGCGAACACACAATTGAAAACGTCAGATCCACGCAGACAAAACAGGCATCCAACCTGGACCACAATTACATTCACTTAGTTACAGCAAATCCATGTACCGTTTACAGCTCAATTCGCCTTTGTAGATTCATGTTTAAAAAAGCAACCACAGTGCCATGTGTATGGCAGCTACTTTTACAAACGTGGGAGGAAAGAATAAGGATGTGCCAGGCAGACGTTTCTTGCTCAATAATTTTTTTCATGCCGTTGTTGTATTCTTACAAACATTACAATTGAATTTCTACTTGTTATGTTCAAAGAGGGAATTTCGCGCTACTGAATGAACCTTTTCGGCTTCTGCCGCGAAGGCAGAGGCATCCCCGTCGCCGCCGTGGGGATCGGCTCGCGGCCGGTACCCCGTGCACAGCACTTTGAGCAGCCCTGTCGTCTCCACTGGGGCGTACTGCACCAATGTCTTGCCGTACTTCTTCAAGTTGCTCTCGGCCTGCTCAAACGGCAGCTTGGCAATGTACACCAGAGCTTTGTGGCAGTCCTGCACACGTGAGTGACGTCCACAAAGCAGAAGGGGAAAGGAAAAAGACGAAGCATGTTGGGACTTATGAATTCTAACAGCACAGCAAAGACGCGCATTTTTTTTGTATGATGTCCACGGTAATTGAAAAAATATACTTTCGCTTACATTCACAATTACAGTTTTTTTCCCAAGGAAGATAGCAGACTGACATAATATTTAACTACAGCATGCGATTTACAAAGATATGATTTGAGTTACATCCGTAAAAAAAAACAAGATCTAGTTTTGGCCCTTCAGAGAACCATAACATAGTTTAGTGCCGTACCGCATACACCTGCATATTTATTTGGTAAAATACTGTGCTCCTCTGCAGCAGTCCAATACAAGAAACACACCCTGCTGGAAGACTTTATTCCCATATTTCAGTCATGAAATTGCAATATTAAATAACTGTTATGCCATGCTATTTTAATGCACCAGAGAGACGGTATGAATTGATATGCAAATTACAGTTGAAATTGACTTAATTTTTCACATCAGTTGTAAGGAAGCAGTAAAGCATGATGATTAGTAAATCATAAAAAGCTATTCACACTCCTTTGAGTCTTGCTCATCTCCTACTGGACATCAGTGAAAAAGAGCGTTACAGCTCATCACATTCCTCCTGTATAAATACATATTCTGATTCTTGCTAGAACTCTTGCTAAAATGAACACAATTTTAGTGATGAAGTGGTTAAGCGTGCAGGGGTCATGGGTAAAAAGTAACCTTGATGTCTTCGAGCTGGATCTTGAGGTACCACTCGTGCTGTCCGTCCTTCTCAGCCAGATAGAGTGCATGGTCATAGTATCCTGCCTGGCGGAGCACCTTGATGGCCGTCTCGACGTCGAACGCCACTTCACTCGTCTGTAAACATAACAGGCACGCACGTTCACCGTTACAATGCAAGCTGGCATTTTAAACAAAGGAAAGTATTGCCGGGGAAGACATTTCTTCGTTTGTTAATCATCTCCAGAAAAATGTATAATGGTGAAGGTAATCATTCATAGCCCTTTTGTTAATCCACTGCTGAATGAAGGCCTTCACATACCAGGTTAGTCATGGGGGTTGTTTGAACATATTTGACCACACAGGTCAGTGTAGATTAGTCCAAATTCCAAATTTAAGGACCATATATCCCCATTATGAAATGTTCTCCACGATGCTAAAGAATTAACACAGTAGTTTATACGTCAATTTGGAAATAATAAAAAAACATTACTTAAGTACACTCCAGCATACCTTTATGAACTCTTCCAGCTTAGAGCTGTCCTTGAGCTTGGTATAGCAGTTGAGCAACAACGTGGTGTGGTCCTTGTTTGCTCGGGATTGGCGATGCAGGGCCTGTAGGTATGCCGTTAAGTTGTGGATTCGCTGAGCGTCTAAGAACTTGCGAATGACATATGACGGCTCCAACTTGCCAATGGTCCTGGTGAAAAAAAAAACCTCAAAGATGATACATCATTCAACACTACACATAGTATACATCTCATATACCAATGCTCTAAATTTAATGCACATGTATTGCAGTCATGTGTTAAGTCACAATTCAGATACTTTCACGTAAAATTATTAATAACATCATAAGAATAAGTGCTCTCAATGCAGCATTCGTATGCCTCGTTCAGCTGACGCACCTTATGTACTGCTGTATGGCTCCATCGTGATCTCCCTTGCTGTACAGGTGATCCCCATACTGCCGAAAGATCTCTGCTAATCCATCCGTGTCCAGGTGTTGAGTCTTTGCCACGCTGATAGCCAGCACGTACAGATTTTTCTTAAACAGCATCTGTTGTGATGGTAATGAAATGTATGTTACTGCTACTCTACCGGGTACATCCAATATGCCTGAACCTAAGCTCAGCTGTCACACCCAATGGATTTAATTATTTTTTAAACATTTACCCATTTTTGTTGCAGTGGCACCTTTGGTGTCATCTCATCCCCGTGACCACCTACATAGGAAGGCTACTGAATACATAGAGACTCATCTAATGTCCTTTTGGTTCTAGAGTTAAAAGCAGAGTGACTGACAAGTATCAACACTCTTTAGATAAAGCAATACTAATATAATTTGAAAATAATGCAATTCAGCCATCCATCAATTTGGTGTCTCGAGTGACCTGTTGCTACATTAAAAGTTTTCCGCTACTCTCCAATACATTGTGGAAAAAGCATATATTTTTGCTGAATTTTCTTGAACTATTTCAGTTATATTTTTTTTTATAAGAGCAGAAATATAACCACCTTTCAGCAAACCAATAATAGTAAGATAATGCAGACAAGGAATATATAAAAACAAATATTTTGTTTCCTGGTCTTTTTAATTTCTTAGGGTGGAAAGGATCGATTTGTTTTTGTCTGGTACAATAAGTTAATGTTCCTTACCTCCAGCTTGGTCTGCGTGTCCTTCTCATGCAGGGCAACCAGCTTGTTGTCGCCCGTTAACACAAAGAGGGAGCCCCACTCCACCAGCACGTCCACCACGTGAGGGAAGGGTGCCGAGTAGGCAATCAGCTTGTTCTCCAAGTCGTACACCGTCACCATGTGCATGTCCATCGCTTGCCGGTCCAAGCCACTCCCTGACGCTCTGTAAATTTAACATCTGGTCTTCATTACAGAAATTACCACCGTCTTTAAGAGCCAGTAAACAAATTATTAGCCCAGAGAAAATAGATTTTAAAATGTCATTGCCAGAACCGTTAGCCTTATACGGAAAATAATATTACGTATAATAACCCCCCGCAATCCGCACGGCGTGGGGAGGCCCTAATCCAGCAGTGAATTCCCAAAAGGGCCATACATGCACATTTATTAAAATCGCCCATTTATATTTAATTACTCATCATCATCATTGATCATTCATAAAGGTTCGACATTTCTCAAATGGGCTGCATGAAACGTGGACCCACCTAGGCATGGACTTCGAATCCTTGGAGACGATGACCAGGTAACCGCGGAACCAGCACACGAGGCGTTTCTCTCCCTCGAAGGCGAAGCAGGGCCCACGCTCCTCGGGCTGGTACAGGTACACGCAGTCGTCACGCGCCACGATGAACTGATTGTCCTGCGAGAGGTCGCTGAGCGTGGAGCAGCGCAGGGCACATCCGTGGGGGTCCAGCAAGTGCCGCTCAATCTTTGCCTGGAGTACGTATGACTGTTGGAACGTCAAAACAAGAGTGGAGAAGAAACCTTAGTATTTAGAAAACATGTGTGTAGATGCTACGTCGTTTGTGTTGATGACAGGACTGACAGATGGTGACTGCTTGTGTAGGCTTTCACTCAGCAGTGAACAGATCATGGCTGCTGATGATGTATATGTAATGGATTGTTTGAAGCCACAGAGTAAAATAAATTTTTACAAAATACAATGAAAATACTTTTTCTTATTTATTTTAAATTCAATGGTTGAAGCTACAAACAAGCTGAAAATTAGTATAAGAGAACAGTACAATGAGTGGGAAAACATTGTTAATTTTCAAAATTTTTATATACAAATTTAACATGCAGTGTGAATTAAATGCATCAAATATGAATATTCAATACAAATATATATTCAAATGCGGGTTCTAAATTTTTCAGCATAAAGGCTGGAAAAGTGTAAGAATTTTTCTTTTAAAATCTGTTATTAAACCACACAAAATTTTATAGTCACCTGCACGTTGTCGGTGGTCACCACGAAGAGGTGCATCACCTTGCCCACCTGGCGGAAGGCCAGGCCCGTGATGGGGTACGTGCTCTCATGCACCACCTGTGTCTTGCTGTGGCGGTCACGTGTGATATCTCCCTTGATAAGTACCACGCTGCCGTCCGTGAATCCTGCAGCACAAACGCAGCAGTGGCCCTCACTTGCCAAACTTGCAAAAAAGAGCAGCCAGTAACCGCACACGCATGACAAAACATTTCAACGTGTCCAAATGCAACCGTATATCAAGTCGCTGTACAGAAACAGTAGGTAGGTTATATAAATGAAGTAGGCCCATTGGCAGAGGAAATAATGAATACCTTGAGCCTGGACTTAACAGTGGCAGGAAATCAACAACACAAATTGGTCGATGGCAGTTTAAGACAATGAGGGTAGCAGAGGAGAATGGTCAAATTACAACTGAAGGACAGTCGATTGAGGGATTCGTTGAAAACAAAATGTATGTTTCCTGGTATTTGGATTATATGGATGACCACATTTCCAGGATATCTTGTTATCAATGTTCACAAATGCTAAAACACTCTCCAAGTGTCAGGTATTCACCTATGCCCATGTAGTTGAGGCCCTCGTGGATGGCGAGGCAAGTCACTTCGGTCGGCTTGTTGCTGGGGATGGCTCTGAAGATGCGGCAACACAGTGGGATGCCCGTCTTGTCACGTTTGTCCATATTCCACACTTTTACCTATGTTGACGAAGAGAAAAAAAGACGTAATTGAGCAATTTCCTCAGAGAGTTACATAATAGGAACGCCAATTTGTTTAATAAGCAACATTATTTAGCGATTATAAGTAATAAGTGTATGTCATGCACATGTATAATTCAAACGTTGAACAAAACTAAAGATTCGAAGTGGCACAGTGGTTAGCGAACCGCATGACGAACCGGCAGCCTGTTCGCTACCCACCCACGGCTGACATCAGGGGTGATATCTAAATAACTAAAGATCAGAGGCGGCACAGTGACCAGCGTGGATCCTGGGCCCCTTCTCCAACCTGCAATGACCAGCGTGCTGGCGCATGGCCATACAACCCCATGACCAGGGGTCGGCAATCTGCGTCTCCGCAGCCGTGTTCGGCGGCTCTTTAAGGACTGCTTGATGACGCTAATTTATTAAGGACCACAATCATGTATTCACAACACATTTTTACAAAATTCGGAAAAAAATGGCTCTTGTTATTTTAGTTGCCGGCTCCTGCCCATGACCGAAAAGGGTGGGTAGGCCTTCACCGAGAAGTGGATTTACAAAGGGCTATAAACTCATATATTTTTTTTATGTGATGTATATCCAAAACCAGCGTTTTAAAATATTGAATTAGTGATGCAGTTACTTGAAAATGTGGAATATCGATTTGCAATGCTTCACATTCCCATTGGCGACAAAACGGGCATCAGAATTTACTTGCCATGGGGTTGATTCCTTGCTCGTCTTCCCCCACCGACACGAACAGGTTGTGTTGCTTCAGCTGGTACAGGTGCGACACCCGCAGTTCGTACGCCTTGAAGCTGCTCAGCTGCAGACTCCGATTGAGGAAGTGAATGTTCCCTTCGAAATGTGCGCGTGTTAAGGAACTTTAAGAGCATCGCACGCGTTGTCATTGCAGACGTGTTCACAGATTATGCCTAAATTTCCATGAAATAGAACTCCTGTGCTCTATTACCCACGTAATTGTCAGTTAATAGATAACATGCACTTCCTCCTGCCTGCGCCGCTATCAATGTGGTCCCAACGCAAACCCTGATTTGTTAATTTTAATTCCACGTGTCCAAACCTTTGTGTTGGTACAAATGCGCGGACACAACCTCATTTCTAGCCACAGCTAGTGCCCGTGTTCTCAAAACTTACGAGTCGGGGCAAACTGCATGGAATATCGCGCAGGAGACAATTCGAACGCGCGCAAATTTGGCGCCGCGTTGCTGTGATGAGACACGAACACACCGCACAAAACGCATATCACCGGTATGGCGTGGGCATGTGACTTCTGTCTCTGTAGCATTAATAACCTAGAGGTGGTGGTGGTGCTGAGGACATGAACCAGTGGTCTTGTTTGGGGAGGGGGGGCCCACACCAAGAAGTTTTATGAGACCCACCGCAATAGCCTGTCCCGATAGACGGCGCAGGTCACAACGAGGTCTGCGCGAGAGAGCGGTGGCGCAGCGGTTAGCGCTACGCCGCGCTACGAACCCGCCGACCCGAGTTCGCTTCCCGCTTCACGACCAACACCGGTGACGACTATCTGAACCGGTCCCGGGTCTCCCCTAGGCCGACTCGGCCTCAAATGAGTACCTGGTGCGGTGGCTTAAGACATCGCCGCTGGGTAAGACAAAGGCGGCCGGGCGTGGCGCTGACCACCCACCTCCTCGGTGTGCCGTCTCCGCCTTCATAGGTGCTACTCGCTGACAGAACTTGCCCCCAACATTCTGTTAGGAGGCTATACGAGGGGGGATATTTGCCTTTTTGTTTTGTTTTTCTCGCCGAACACACCACCCCAACCACCACCCCCCAACTCGAGTGACCAACTCGGCGGGGAAGGCCAACAGGATATCCCCGAACAGCATCTGCCCGCGGCCGCAGGCGCACACGCTGACGTTGAGCGCCGCGAGGCCGTCGAAGGCCCCGGCGCCTCCCGCGGGGTCCCGCGCCGCCTCTTTGTCGAAGAAGGCGAAGCGCCGCCACTGCAGGAACGCCATGGTCTTCCCCCTTCCTCCCGCTACCCGCCTCGCACAAACCCTACAACGGATCGGCGCGCCTCACACAAACCCTACAACGGATCGGCGCGCCTCTCACAAACCCTACAACGGATTGGCGTGCCCCACAAACCCCTACAACGGATCGGCGCGCCTCACACAAACCCTACAACGGATCGGCGCGCCTCACACAAACCCTACAACGGATCGGCGCGCTTCACACAAACCCTACAACGGATCGGTGCGCCTCACACAAACCCTACAACGGATCGGCGCGCCCCACACTCACACAAACCCTACAACGGATCGGCATCCCTCACACAAACCCTACAACGGATCGGCGTGCCTCACACAAACCCTACAACGGATCGGCACAACTCACAAACCCCTACAACGGATCGGCGCGCCTCACACAAACCCTACAACGAATCGGCGTGCCTCACACAAACCCTACAACGGATCGGCGTGCCTCACACAAACCCTACAACGGATCGGCACAACTCACAAACCCCTACAACGGATCGGCGCGCCTCACACAAACCCTACAACGAATCGGCGTGCCTCACACAAACCCTACAACGAATCGGCACAACTCACACAAACCCCTACAACGGATCGGCGCGCTCCACACTCACACAAACCCTACAACGGATCGGCGTGCCTCACACAAACCCTACAACGGATCGGCGCGCCTTACACAACCCCCACAACGGATCGACGGTTCTCACACAAACCCTACAACGGATCGGCGTGACTCACAAAAACCCTACAACGTATTGGCGCGCCTCACACAAACCCTACAACGGATCGGCGCGCCTCACTAAAACCCTACAACGGATCGGCGCGCCTCACTAAAACCCTACAACGGATCGCCGTGCGGCGCGCTCCTACTGGCTGCGGTCGCGCATAACACGCGGCCAGTAGGATCGTGCCGCACGCACGTGACCGCCGAGGCGACCAATCGTCGTCGTCATCGTGGTCCGTGGGGGCGGGGCAATCTGTCTGCCTGATGATGCCGGTTGTAATTACTGGCGAAACGTCGTGCCTCAGATTGTAAATGTTGTGGATTTGCTCTCCCAACACACCGGTGTGTTGCTGTACCAGCAACGAATTGGCACGTTGTTTACGTGACAAACCTTAATACGGGGTTTTTTTTGGGTTAAATCGCGCAGAGAAATGTGTCGTTATACCCGCCACCACCCGACACATTGGTCGCGAAAGACGACGTCTGACAAACCTTGCTAATTGGCTGTGTCGGGTGGTGGCGGGTTTAACGACACATTTATATTTAAGTGATTTAATCCCCCAAAAAAACCTTTATTATGCACTCATAGCTGTCAACCCATACGGTTTACCCCGTATTCGTACGGGGAAATTGGGTTTTGAGGTCCATAGGGCGTACAGCCGTTTCAATACGGGCAATATTGTTTTTTTATATTTGTTTGTGTTTCTCCCTTGCGATAACGGCACGGGGTGACCAACGAGGTCTGACTTGGTCTGTAATACGGTAGGCACTGATAAGGGGTTGACAGGTGCGTCCGCTGGACTTTCCTCTCTTGAATTTGTGCCAATGTGCACAATTAGTGGCCACATCTTGTCCGGCACCGATCTCGTCTGATGTCGTTGTCGAGCACATTCCCTGTTAGGTCTTCCTCTCGTTCCGATTCCTTCTGGTCTTTTTTTCCGTCCCCCGAACAACAACGACACTTGTTACGTTCATGTCGTTTCCCATCCTACATATATTATTTGGGTCTTTCGGTAAAGTCACGTAGATAGGTTCAAAGAAAATGACAAAAAAATTACGAAGTTTCGATCGCAACACAAGCTTCTTTTTCTTCCTGATGACGAACGCTTGTGTTGCGATCGAAACGTCGTTTTTTCTCATTTTTCTTCGAACCTATCTACGTGATTTTACCGAAAGACCCAAAGAATATGAATTCCTGCAGTCACGACAGCTTTAAGTCAGCATCCTACTGATGCGTCCAAAGAGTGCCAGTTTCCCTTCTCCATCACTACCTGCACCACCACCACCAACCACGCCTCCTCTGTGCGCAGTCATAGCAGCGCTTATGCCAGCTGCCAATTCTAATCGAGAAGGGGGTCAATCACGTGGCGCGCGCGACGCCGCCGCGTGACGCAGACTCGCCACGTGACGCGAACTGGAGGGGCGGGGGGCGACCCCAAAATCCCCCGCTGCCCCCTCCCTCCTCGCTCTCTATAATCACGTGACCGGCACCCCGCCGAATGGGATGTGATGGTGGTGGGGGGCGCGGGTGGTGGTGGGGGGCACGGGTGGTGGTGGGGGGGGGGCACGGGTGGTGGTGGGGGGGGGCACGGGTGGTGGGGGGGGGCACGGGTGGTGGTGGGGGGGCACGGGTGGTGGTGGGGGGCACGGGTGGTGGTGGGGGGCACGGGTGGTGGCGGTGGTGGGGGGCACGGGTGGTGGTGGTGGGCACGGGTGGTGGTGGGGGGCACGGGTGGTGGTGGTGGTGGGGGGCACGGGTGGTGGCGGTGGTGGGGGGCACGGGTGGTGGTGGGGGGCACGGGTGGTGGTGGGGGGCACGGGTGGTGGTGGGGGGCACGTGTGGTGGCGGTGGTGGGGGGCACGGGTGGTGGCGGTGGTGGGGGGCACGGGTGGTGGTGGGGGGCACGGGTGGTGGTGGTGGGGGGCACGGGTGGTGGTGGTGGGGGGCACGGGTGGTTGTGGGGGGGGGGGGCACGAGTGGTTGTGGGGGGGGGGCACGGGTGGCGGTGGTGGTGGGGGGGTGAAGCGGTTAGCGCTACGTCGGAGCCACGTACCCGGGCATCTCGAATTCGACTCCCGCTCACGGCCACCGACACTACTGACGATTATCTGTACCGATAATGGACTATCTGTTTGCTTAAACACGTGTTAATAATATTATTATTAATCCTTGATCGTTCCCGCGTGGATTAAATACCGGCCGTTCCATAGGATTCGGGGGGGGGGGTCAATCCTACGTACGCAGGTGGGGGGGGGGGGGTAAAAAGTCGGCGTGCGTACGGTGGGGGGGTGGGGGTAAGTTGACAGATTTCTGCGTACCTACTAAATGGATGGCCCCTAAGGTCCACTCGGCCTCAAATGAGTACCTGGTGCAGTGTGTAAGCATCGCCACTGGGGGAGACAAAGGCGGCCGGGCGTGGTTGCCGGCCACATAACCCCTTCATAGATAGGTGCTGCTCGCGAACAGCACTAGACTCCCAAAAGTCTATGTTACAGGCAATTACGGGGGATATTATTTTTTATATATATAAGTGATTTATTTACTTTGCCAAGACTTGCAAAGAAAAAAAAACACGATTGCGCTCCTTAACTTTCTCCGCATTGTTTCCTGTCGTAACGTTCTGACCGCGTGCCCCTACTTGGACGTGTGTGCAATAAGAGCTTTACAGCTCATCGGGATTCCTGCAGGATAAACATTCTGTGTGTGGGGGGAGGGGGTCGTGGCCACGTGACTCTCGGCACGCCCCCCCCCCCACCGCTCGTTGCGTGACGTCTCCGAAAGCCCCGGATGGGTCACGCCCACATGGGTCACGCCCCGCGCCCCCCCCACCACCAAGGAGCTGTATGTAAATGTGGCGGCCATGTTGGCTGAGGGGAGAAGTTGAAGCGGCGCCGTTTAAAGGGGCAACAGATGGTAACGGATTCCGAGGCCGTCGAGAAGGACGGAGGGGACGGCGTTTTAACTCGTTGGAGCGGGTTCACGACACGCGACGTTAACGCTAACTTTAGTTGGTAGGGTTGCCTGCGGTGTTTTGCGATCCGCTTTGACTTGACGCCGCGCGCGGATCGGGCTAGCCGTGTCTTCGTCAGGGGTAGGGGGCGCGCAATGATCATGCGGACAATATTCGGAACAATCGCGGTCGTTACAAAGAACAACAACAACTATAACGTTACAATGCTGTGTTATTGATGTTACGATCAAGCGTACATTCCCTTAACTGTTTTGGTTTCATTGTATCGATTCCGAGTCGCGAATCGAATCGTGTCTCGATTAACTCGTATTGCCCGTTTCGTTTTAGGCAATATTGTTATTTTATGCCGACGTGTTAACATTTTTGTTGTTGAAATTTAATAGCGTTTGCGTGCGATTTAAGTAGTGTATGTTTAAACGTAAATATTTGAACGGACGTGTGAGCTTGTGCGGCGATTTCAACGCATTATTTGCGTTCCGTTATTTAGATCAACATTACCGCTTAATGTTTACTGCTCAATTGAGCATTGAGGGTCCATACCTACAAACTTAAGGGTTCATACCTACAAACTAAAGTGTCCATTCCTACAAACTTAAGGGTCCATACCTACAAACTTAAGGGTCCATACCTACAAACCGGTCTTAAGAGTTTTCTCGTCATGAAACAACGCTACTAAAATTATGCACTCCCCGAAGGCCGTGCAGCTGATTGTGTAAAATATAAATATCTTTTTTAAATGCGGAGAGTATATATGCCTACACAGTGGTACTCTTAAGCAAAATAATGGGATACAGTATTGTAACATTGCACGGTAAAATATTTCTATATTGTTTGCTAAAATGACAAAAAATGGTAAGGGTAGTATTGCTTATGTAACATTACTACTAAAGAATAAATATTAATGAACGTTCAAACAACTTAAAAAAACTATGGGCGTAGATGTGGCATCACGTTGGATGTGTGTAAATAAGAACGCCATCTTGCCTAGGGGGAAGGGATGGAGAGTGGTGTGCTGTTAGTATTGTGGGGTACGGGTGGAGGGTATAAAACCAGGTGTGTTATCCCGATAGAAACACGAAAACAAAATACATTTAAGTAATTAAAAATGTGTAAGTCATTGAAATAATTACTGGACCAAGTGAAATGTGTGAAGTGTGTGGAATCTTTGGTTGTAAATGCATGTTTCGAATTCGAAGTGATTTCCTGCTAAAATGAGCATTGATGAATTGATGCTGGTCTCCCATTTACAGCCCTGAGTAACTGTTGGAAATTCCACTCTCCTTTGACGGGGGCTAGTTTATCCATAGGGAAATCACGCTGTTGACTTCCCCAGAAAGTGGTACTCACGTTATCGACTCGGAGGGCTGATGGGCCGAGTTATCCCCCGAACCACGACGTGACCTCGCAAAGATTGCGTTTGCGAGCCGCTCGCTCTGCCGCAGAGCCACCTTTGCTTCGAAGGTGCAAAGTCTTGCCTCGAACATTTGTTATCGATATTTTCTCGAAGGTGGAATAATTGTACGCCTGTTCTCTTTCTGTTTTATAATCTGTAGGTATCTGCCATGCCTACAACCTGTGCAGCGATTAAATGTCCCGAGGAGCGAAGCAGAGATTCGTTCATGAGGGGTATCACCTTTCATGGGTAACAGCACAGTTTGCACTTTTTTTTCCCCAACTCTGAAATATAAAATGACTTGGCAACACTTTTTTAAACACATTGTGAACAAACATTATCCACTTTATAAAGTGCCTACGTTCGTCAACTCTGATGCCAAGCAGGATTTAATCTGATTTGATACTTAGGGCTTACCAGGTGTTGCACTCGTGGGGCTGAGAGGTGTCACCCCATCGTGTGCATGAGTTTGCTCTGGATTCTCCGGTTTCCTCGTACACAAATCTATTCATCGCCTTGAATGGTCTTGGCCACACATCTCGGCACACGACCCTCATACATATGCATCAATTAGATACACAAAGTGTAGGAATAGCCATCGGTAAAATTTCTCCTCTCGTTTTTCTGGGATGGGGTCTGAAGTACCGCAACATCTACCCTTAGCCAAATGTGACCCAGGGTTGCACGATTTCGCAATTCCGACTGGCTTGCCACTAGGTGGCGCCGATATGCGCACAACGCATACCATAACCAGACCTGTTACGTTATTTTAACAACTACACCTCCTGCAAGTGTTTTATTTGTAACGCTGCTTGTTGATGTTTAGTTTTCCAAAGGATCCGTTTCGAAGAAAACAGTGGAGGATAGCTGTTCGCCGACAGACTCCGGATAAAAAGCTCTGGGAACCAAGTAAAAGCAGCTGTTTGTGCAGCAAACATTTTAAATCGGACATGTTTGACAAGACTGGGCAAACCGTTCGACTGAGGGACAATGCCGTACCCACAGAATTTGACTTTCCACCTCACCTGAAGGTATGTGTTTTGATGTAATCTCACCTATAAAAGTCACTTTGTCTGTATCTGTCTGTCCGTCTGTCTGTGTACGCAACTTGCGACGCTGTTAACTCACACTGTGGGGTTTACGTTTCAAAAAAGTACCCAGATACCACGCGATAAGCCCAGGGGTGAGCCAGCGCTATTCACCGGCTATCATCAGAGATTTGTTCATAAAGCCATCCAGATGTATAAACACAGACACAACTTCAACCGAGAAGATGGGTACAAACTGAGCAATCATTGGAAGGACGTTATTAACCAGGTAAAGTCTTAACTGACTGTGATGTTTCCATCCGACTCTCTGAGTACATCACCAGGTTGAATGTCTTTACATTAACGGGCTATGTGTCTCACTAACACAGCTACCATTGCCCCTTTCCCTCTATGGCGGGAGCTCTCGTTTTTTAACAGACTAACTGGCTGTGATATTTCTGTGTATGTGTCTCTCTGTTTATTTGTCTCTCTGTGTATCTCTCTGTCTCTGTGTGTATCTCTTCTCTCTTTGTGTCTCTCTGTGTGTGTCTCTCTCTGCGTATGTCTCTGTGTGTGTCTGTCTCTGTGTGTGTCTGTCTCTGTGTGTCTCTCTCTATGTGTGTCTTTCTGTGGATGTCTCTCTCTGTTTGTGAGTTGTCCCTCTGTGTGTGTCTCTCTCCATGTGTATCTCTCATTGACATGCTGGTCTCTCCTGGAAGTTGCTCTTGCGGGTTTTTTTGTTCTTGTTGCCCGGTTCTCTGACATTGACATGCTAATCTTCTCATTGGCACTCCCCCTGGTTGCTGGAGCCGTCTCACATTGACATGCTATGATCTTTGGTTCTCTCGGTAAAGTCACGTAGGTATACCGAAAGAACCAAAGAGTATGGATTCCTGCTGTCACGAAAGCTTCAAATCAAGATTGACATGCTAATCTCTTACATTTACGTAAAAATTCCATCTCTAACTCCGCCCACTTACCCTTGGGTTGAGCCCACCTAAAGCATATATAACCTCGTGTTGCAGCAGCTCTTTCTCCTGCGTCAGCAGTTCTGCTGTGTTCGTCTCACCTGATGACAGTTGCTTGTGTTGCGATCGAAACGTCGTGATCTATTAATTTTCTATCTACGTGACTTTACCGAAAGAACCAAAGAGTAACTTTAATCTAGTTAAATTAACAATGTATTACTATTATTATATCACTACGCTGAGCGCACGCCATAGCATGCATCTGCACGTGCGTGAGAACACTGACACGTGGTTCCCATAGTAACGCACAATTACGATCGGTGGGGGGAGGGGGGAATTCTCATTCGTGTTAAAATGTGCAAAAAAAATACACACAATGCTGATGTAAATTCTTCAAAGTGTGATGTCCTCTTCTCCCCCACCCCAATGTGTGCACGTACTACTATAGGGTCGGCAGATACTACTAATGCAGTGCGGGCGGGGGGATGGTGGGGGGGTAGCGGCCCAGCCCTAGCCGGCCAAGGCGCCACCTCGGCCGGCTGGGCAAGCTAGGCGAGGCCGGGGTCTCTGCACGGGACTAGGCCTTGCCACGGCACTCTGTTAAGTTAGTAGTTAACTGCTATAGAGTTGATAGATACTGTTATAGAGTCGATATATATGACTATAGAGGAGGTACAAATTACTGTAAAGTAGTTAGATACTCCTATAGAGTCGGGAGATACTACTGCAGAGTCGGTAGATGCTGCTTTAGAGTCAGTAGATACGACTATAGAGTCAGATACGACTATAGAGTCAGCAGTTACTGCTATAGTCAGCAAATACTATAAAGTTACTACTATAGTCAGTTGATACTGCTTTAGAGTCAATAGATACGATACGACTATAGATTCAGTAGATACTACTATAGTCATTGGATACTCCTGTAGAGTCAGTATATACTACTACAGTCGGCAGATACTATTATAGAGTCGGCAGATACTATTATAGAGTCGGCAGATACTATTATAGAGTCGGCAGATACTATTATAGAGTCGGCAGATACTATTATAGAGTCGGCAGATACTTTTATAGAGTCGGCAGATACTATTATAGAGTCGGCAGATACTATTATAGAGTCGGCAGATACTATTATAGAGTCGGCAGATACTATTATAGAGTCGGCAGATACTTTTATAGAGTCGGCAGACACTACTATTAAGTCGGCAGACACTACTATTGAGTCGGCAGTTACTACTATTTAGTTGGCAGATACTATTGAGTCAGTAGATACCACTACGGTCAGTAGATACTACTATACAGTCAATGGATACTATTATAGATTCAGTAGATACTACTGTAGAGTCAGTAGTTACTACTATAGTCGGTAGATACCACTATAGAGTCGGTATATAATACTACAGTCTGTAGATACCACTATAGTCCGTATATACTGCTGTAGATTCAGTAGATACGACTATGGAGGCAGTAGATAATGCTATAATCAGCAGATACTGCGATAGAGTTATACAGATACTACTAAGTCTGCAGAAACTACTGTAGTGTCTTCAAAAATCACTCAGACTGACACGTAACAAGTCGTCACCTGCTTACACTTTATTAACCTATTCTTGCACCAGTTGTAGGCACTTCTAGAACTATCTGTACGGTCACTTAGACCTAACCTCTTCCCACTAGTATCTACGTTACACCTCACTTATCCTGCCCTCGGCAGCTCTGCTCTCAGCGACTCCGCACACAGCGTCCTTGCATACAGTGCCTCAGCACCCAGCAGCTTCTCACACTACACCGCTGCCCTTGCCTACGCTCCCTCAGAACCGCTCACTCGTCTGTCCCGGGTGGGGGGTTCAGCCAACGGAACGTGACGCGTCGTGAGCGAGTGCCTGCGGCAGGTCCATCCCCGCGGGCAGAGCCGGTATCGCCCGGGTTGGTGGAATGTTCCGACGGTTTAGCAGAACGAGGCCTCTTCCGCACCGCAGGGGACGCAGTACGCCCACCCCCGGGGTGGTCCACCTCGGGAGTCTCTGCCGCCCCGTCCTTGGACGTTAGTCGCTCCGGTCCTGTAGATGGTACAGAACAATCCCCCTCACGTCCCGTTTCCCAAGGCGCGGCAATCGGCTCGCCGGACACATTAGACATTGGCCGCATAGGATGTGGGGATGAATCGACAGGACTAGGCGAGACATATCTTTTTAGCCGCGACGGTTGCACGAATCAGCGCTGCTGGCCTAAACGAACACATACACACTGCGGCCGCCGGACCTCAATAAACTCGACTGGCCCTTGCCAGAGACGGTACAATTTAGGGGATGTGCCTAGGGGTACTTGAGGGCAGTGTAACCATGCCCTGTCACCTTATTGCCAAGGAATCCCCGGCCCTCCTTGTCCCCACGACTGCTCGTTTCCGGCCTGCCTGCGGGCCGAGTTGCTCCTGGCAGCCTCGCGGGCCAACCGCAGCTGATCCAGTGTTCGCAACATGGGGTCTGGCACCACCGACCCCTTCTTGGAAAGGCGCTAGCCCAACTGGACCTGCACCGGGGGTTTGGGCTCCCTCCCGTACATGAAGTAAAATGGTGAGAACCCCATGGTCGTTGAGGAACCCACCACGGCGCCCACTACGCAATGAGCGCATTCCACTGCTCGATGCCGCGCGGCCAACACGCTAACGACCCCGCACACTGTGTATGAGTCGCGACGTCATGAGTTTTTACAGGATTAATCCGCACCGGACCTAAGCTAGATGGGTGATGGGACAAAAACGGCCGTGTGTCTGATGCGCCCGGACTCGCCTGTATACTGTGGGAAGAGGAGGTGTTGAAGCCGGAGGATGATGGAGACGACGGGAAACTGCCAGTCCCATAGCGGCAGTTGACGGCGATGTGGCCCGGCCGGCCGCACCTTTAGCAGTTCCGGGGAGAACGCCCAGATGGCTGGCCCAGCTTAGAGCACCACTCTAGTGACGGTGGACGCAGCCCACCGCTCCTTCCCTCCGGCCCCCGGGTGAAGGAGGCACACGCCCGCTCGTCCGTGGCCGGCTCCATTGCGCAGGCCGCCACCGCCGGCCAGTCCTTGAGGGTGAGGTGTGCTTGGATGCTGCGGGCCACCCTCAGAGGTCAGGTCGTCTTCCGCCACCGAGAGGGTGACCCCTTCCCCCCCCCCCCCCCCCCCCCCCCCCAATTCACGAGCCAGGGAGAGAAGCCGCTGCATGGCGAGGGAATTCAGGGCGACTGCCCATGCGAGGGTAGGCCACGTGCCCCCAAGGCAAGGAGTGCACGACGATAAGCCAGCGGCGTCTCGTTCTCCCCATCGCCTCAGCCTGAATCTTCTTTGAACGTTAGACCGTGGATCAAAACAGCGGCGATCTCGGCGCAGGCACGCTCGAGGGTCACTCAATCCGACACGGGGATGGCAAAAAAAGCAGCCAACGAGTCTTCGTCGAGCTTGGAGCACCTCGTGGGATGACCATCCCACAGAGGTGTAGGCGGCCTCGAATCGACGACGAAAAGCCATCCAATCTCCTCCTGCAGCGGTGAACTGGCTAACCAGCGGCAGACGCCGAGACTTGTAAGTGCCTAGCAAGGGCAATGGGGTGGCTTCCACCTTAGCTGTTGACGGCTGCTGGCCGCCACTAATCTTGTTGCCCCGCCCCCTCTCTCTTCCATCTCTAGCCCCGCCCACGTACCCTTGGGTTGCTCCCAGCTCAGACCTATATAACCTCTTGTCATGGCAGCTCTCTCGCCTGCTTCAGCAGTTTTCCTGCTGTAATTGTCTCACCTGATGACGATCGCTTGTGTTGCGATCGAAATGTAGTGATTTATTTTCTACCTACGTGACTTCACCGAAAGAACCAAAGAGTATCAATAAATACTACTATAGATTCAGTAGG